GTCTGTGTGTGTGTGTCTGTGTGTGTCTGTGTGTGTGTGCCTGTGTGTGTGTGCCTGTGTGTGTGTGCCTGTGTGTGTGTCTGTGTGTGTGTGCCTGTGTGTGTGCCTGTGTGTGTGTCTGTGTATCTGAGTGTGTGTGTGTGTGTATCTTATCTGAGTGTGTGTGTATCTGTGTGTGTTTCTGTGTGTATCTGTGTGTGTGTCTGTGTAGCGTAGCGGTTAGCGCTACGCTGCGCTACGAACCCGGCAACCCGAGTTCGATTCCCGCTCACGGCCAACACCGCCAGTGACGAATATCTGAACCGGTCCTGGGCCCTCCCCTAGGTCGACTCAGCCTCAAATGAGTACCTGGTGGGGTGTGTGTAGTAAACATCGCCACTGGGGAGACAAAGACGGCCGGGCGTGGTGTTGGCCACCCACCCCCTCGTGTGCCGTGCCGGTAGCCTTCATAAGTGCTCGCTTACAGCACTTGCCCCTACAGTCTGTTGAGGCTATACGGGGGACCTTTGTCTGTGTGAGTGATTAGAAGCTGGCGACCATTCCCATGACGGCCTTTTACTCGGAGGGCAGCAAAAAGGAGTTTGAGCATTACATCCGTTTCTGCTTCATCAAGGTAGCGGCCACACGCCACCCACACGCTACCCACACACCACCCACACGCTACCCACACACCACCCACACGCTACCCACACGCTACCCACACGCTACCCACACGTTACCCACACGCCACCCACACGCTACCCACACGCTACCCACACGCCACCCACACGTTACCCACACGCCACCCACACGCCACCCACACGCTACCCACACGCTACCCACACGCCACCCACACGTTACCCACACGCCACCCACACGCTACCCACACGCTACCCACACGCCACCCACACGTTACCCACACGCCACCCACACGCCACCCACACGCTACCCACACGCTACCCACACGCCACCCACACGCTACCCACACGCTACCCACACGCCACCCACACGCCACCCACACGCCACCCACACGCTACCCACACGCCACCCACACGCTACCCACACGCTACCCACACGCTACCCACACGCCACCCACACGCTACCCACACGCTACCCACACGCCACCCACACGCTACCCACACGCTACCCACACGCCACCCACATGCTACCCACACGCCACCCACATGCTACCCACACGCCACCCACACGCCACCCACACGCCACCCACACGCTACCCACACGCTACCCACACGCCACCCACACGCCACCCACACGCCACCCACATGCTACCCACACGCCACCCACATGCTACCCACACGCCACCCACACGCCACCCACACGCCACCCACACGCTACCCACACGCCACCCACACGCCACCCACACGCCACCCACACGCCACCCACACGCTACCCACACGCCACCCACACGCCACCCACACGCCACCCACACGCTACCCACACGCCACCCACACGCCACCCACACGCCGTAAAGAAGCCTGCTGGCTCTGGTGTAGGCCAATTGGTTTTAAAGACAATACTGATAACATTATTATTACTACATTATTATTACATTATTATTACATTATTACTACACTATTATTACTACATTATTACTACTACATTATTATTACTGCATTATTACTACATTATTATTACTACATTATTACTACATTATTACATTATCACTACATTATTATTACTACATAATTATTACTACATTATTACTACTACATTATTATTACTACATAATTATTACTACATTATTACTACTACATTATTATTACTACATTATCTCCAAAATCTTGAATAAGCACAAGATCCAGGTCCGATTCAACACATTACATAAAATCCGTGATCTGGTTCCGTCTGTAAAAGGTGTGATTCTGGACATACAGTACCCTGGTGTCTACAAACTAAGTTGCCTCTGTGGTAGTAGTTACATTGGAGAAACCAAACGCCATGTCTCGGACCGCATTCGTGAACACAAAGCAGACCTTAAACACGGGAGGACCAACACTTCTGCCGTGGCAGATCATTGTTATAATTCAGTAGGCTCACATGACATTGACTTCTCCAAGACAGAGGTTCTCTGCAAGACATCTGGCTACCATGAGAGATTCGTTCATGAGGCTATCCACATATACAAGCACAGCGACAATTTCAACCGAGAAGATGGATTCTGGCGTAGCAATCATTGGAAGGATTTGATAAAACCATTTCGGGTCTTAATTGATTGTGTTCACGCTTAAGGTGGCTTTCAGACCGCATCCATTATTTTCGTCTCCCCCCTCCTCTTTTCCGAACATAGATGGACTCGTCCATCTGAACAAACTGTCAAATCGCTCTCCGTGGTGCTAACGTTAAAATAACCGCCACTTCTTTCAAATTTTCTTGCTGTGGTTTTCACACCTGATGATGATTGCTTGTGTTGCAGTCGAAACGTCGTGAGAATTTTATTGTTTTATATATTTTTTATTTTATTGTTTCCCTTCTACGTGACTTTACACTACTATATACACTACAATGTATATACAATATACTATACACTACACTATATATACACTATACTATACACTACTATGTATATACACTAAACTATACACTACACTATACACTACTATGTATATACACTACACTATACACTACACTATACACTACATTATACACTACTATGTATATACAATATACTATACACTACACTATATATACACTATACTATACACTACTATGTATATACACTACACTATACACTACTGTGTATATACACTACACTATACACTACACTATACACTACACTATACACTACTGTGTATATACAATACACCATACACTACACTATACACTACACTATACACTACTGTGTATATACACTACACTATACACTACACTATACACTACACTATACACTACACTATACACTACTATGTATATACACTACACTATACACTACTGTGTATATACACTACACTATACACTACTGTGTATATACACTACACTATACACTACACTATACACTACTATGTATATACACTACACTATACACTACACTACACACTACACTATACACTACTATGTATATACACTACACTATACACTACACTATACACTACACTACACACTACTATGTATATACACTACACTATACACTACACTACACACTACACTATACACTACTATGTATATACACTACACTATACACTACACTATACACTACACTATACACTACTGTGTATATACACTACACGATACACTACACTATACACTGCTATGTATATACAATATACTATACACTACTGTGTATATACACTACACTATACACTACCATGTATATACACTACACTATACACTACACTATACACTACTATGTATATACACTTGACGATACACTACTATGTATATACACTACACTATACACTACACTATACACTACTATGTATATACACTACACGATACACTACTATGTATATACACTACACTATACATTACACTATACACTACTATGTATATACACTACACTATACACTACTGTGTATATACACTACACTATACACTACTGTGTATATACACTACACTATACACTACACTATACACTAGTATGTATATACACTACACTATACACTACTATGTATATACACTACACGATACACTATACACTACACACTACACTACTGTGTATATACACTACACTATACACTACACTATACACTACTGTGTATATACACTACACTACACTATACACTACTGTGTATATACACTACACTACACACTACACCATACACTACTATGTATATACACTACACTATACACTACTGTGTATATACACTACACTATACACTACTATGTATATACACTACACTATACACTACACTATACACTACTGTGTATATACACTACACTATACACTACACTATACACTACACGATACACTACTATGTATATACACTACATTATACATACTATGTATATACACTACATTATACATACTATGTATATACACTACACTATACACTACACTATACACTACTATGTATATACACTACACTATACACTACTGTGTATATACACTACACTATACACTACTGTGTATATACACTACACTATACACTACACTATACACTACACTATACACTACACTATACACTACTGTGTATATACACTACACTATACACTACTATGTATATACACTACACTATACACTACTGTGTATATACACTACACTATACACTACTATGTATATACACTACACGATACACTACTGTGTATATACACTACACTATACACTACACTATACACTACACTATGCACTACTGTGTATATACACTACTATGTATATACACTACACTATACACTACTGTGTATATACACTACTATGTATATACACTACACTATATACTACACTATACACTACACTATACACTACACTATACACTACACTATACACTACTGTGTATATACACTACACTATACACTACACTATACACTACTATGTATATACACTACACTATACACTACACTATACACTACACTATACACTACTATGTATATACACTACACTATACACTACACTATACACTACACTATACACTACACTATACACTACACTATACACTACTGTGTATATACACTACACTATACACTACACTATACACTACTGTGTATATACACTACACTATACACTACACTATACACTACACTATACACTACACTATACTATACACTACACTATACACTACTATTTATATACACTACACGATACACTACTGTGTATATACACTACACTATACACTACACTATACACTACACTATACACTACTGTGTATATACACTACTATGTATATACACTACACTATACACTACTGTGTATATACACTACTATGTATATACACTACACTATACACTACACTATACACTACACTACACACTACACTATACACTACACTATACACTACTGTGTATATACACTACACTATACACTACACTATACACTACACTATACACTACTATGTATATACACTACACTATACACTACACTATACACTACACTATACACTACACTATACACTACTATGTATATACACTACACTATACACTACACTATACACTACTGTGTATATACACTACACTATACACTACACTATACACTACTGTGTATATACACTACACTATACACTACACTATACACTACACTATACACTACACTATACACTACTGTGTATATACTCTACACTATACACTACACTATACACTACACTATACACTACTGTGTATATACACTACACTATACACTACTGTGTATATACACTACACTATACACTACTGTGTATATACACTACTGTGTATATACACTACACTATACACTACACTATACACTACTGTGTATATACACTACACTATACACTACCCTATACACTACACTATACACTACTGTGTATATACACTACTATTTATATACACTACACGATACACTACTGTGTATATACACTACACTATACACTACACTATACACTACACTATACACTACTGTGTATATACACTACTATGTATATACACTACACTATACACTACTGTGTATATACACTACTATGTATATACACTACACTATACACTACACTATACACTACACTACACACTACACTATACACTACACTATACACTACTGTGTATATACACTACACTATACACTACACTATACACTACACTATACACTACTATGTATATACACTACACTATACACTACACTATACACTACACTATACACTACACTATACACTACTATGTATATACACTACACTATACACTACACTATACACTACTGTGTATATACACTACACTATACACTACACTATACACTACTGTGTATATACACTACACTATACACTACACTATACACTACACTATACACTACTGTGTATATACACTACACTATACACTACACTATACACTACACTATACACTACTGTGTATATACACTACACTATACACTACTGTGTATATACACTACACTATACACTACTGTGTATATACACTACTGTGTATATACACTACACTATACACTACACTATACACTACTGTGTATATACACTACACTATACACTACACTATACACTACACTATACACTACTGTGTATATACACTACTGTGTATATACACTACTATGTATATACACTACACTATACACTACTGTGTATATACATTACTATGTATATACACTACACTATACACTACACTATACACTACACTATACACTACACTACACACTACACTATACACTACACTATACACTACTGTGTATATTCACTACACTATACACTACACTATACACTACTATGTATATACACTACACTATACACTACACTATACACTACACTATACACTACTGTGTATATACACTACACTATACACTACACTATACACTACACTATACACTACACTATACACTACTATGTATATACACTACACTATACACTACACTATACACTACTGTGTATATACACTACACTATACACTACACGATACACTACTATGTATATACACTACACTATACACTACTATGTATATACACTACACTATACACTACTATGTATATACACTACACTATACACTACACTATACACTACACTACACACTACACTACATACTACACTATACACTACTGTGTATATACACTACACTATACACTACTGTGTATATACACTACACTATACACTACACTATACACTACACTATACACTACACTATACACTACTGTGTATATACACTACACTATACACTACTGTGTATATACACTACACTATACACTACTGTGTATATACACAGTAGTGTATAGTGTACACTATACACTACTGTGTATATACACTACACTATACACTACACTATACACTACTATGTATATACACTACACGATACACTACTGTGTATATACACTACACTATACACTACACTATACACTACTGTGTATATACACTACTATGTATATACACTACACTATACACTACACTATACACTACACTATACACTACACTACACTATACACTACTGTGTGTATACACTACACTATACACTACACTACACTATACACTACTATGTATATACACTACACTATACACTACACTATACACTACACTATACCCTACTATGTATATACACTACACTATACACTACACTATACACTACTGTGTATATACACTACACTATACACACTATACACTACTGTGTATATACACTACACTATACACTACACTATACACTACACTATACACTACTGTGTATATACACTACACTATACACTACACTATACACTACACTATACACTACTGTGTATATACACTACACTATACACTACTGTGTATATACACTACACTATTCACTACTATACACTACACTATACACTACACTATACACTACACACTACTATGTATATACACTACACTATACACTACACTATACACTACACACTACACTATACACTACACTATACACTACACTATACACTACACTATACACTACTGTGTATATACACTACACTATACACTACTGTGTATATACACTACACTATACACTACTGTGTATATACACTACTGTGTATATACACTACACTATACACTACACTATACACTACTGTGTATATACACTACACTATACACTACACTATACACTACTGTGTATATACACTACTATTTATATACACTACTATTTATATACACTACACGATACACTACTGTGTATATACACTACACTATACACTACACTATACACTACTGTGTATATACACTACTATGTATATACACTACACTATACACTACTGTGTATATACACTACTATGTATATACACTACACTATACACTACACTATACACTACACTACACACTACACTATACACTACACTATACACTACTGTGTATATACACTACACTATACACTACACTATACACTACACTATACACTACTATGTATATACACTACACTATACACTACACTATACACTACACTATACACTACACTATACACTACTATGTATATACACTACACTATACACTACACTATACACTACTGTGTATATACACTACACTATACACTACACTATACACTACTGTGTATATACACTACACTATACACTACACTATACACTACACTATACACTACACTATACACTACTGTGTATATACACTACACTATACACTACACTATACACTACACTATACACTACTGTGTATATACACTACACTATACACTACTGTGTATATACACTACACTATACACTACTGTGTATATACACTACTGTGTATATACACTACACTATACACTACACTATACACTACTGTGTATATACACTACACTATACACTACACTATACACTACACTATACACTACTGTGTATATACACTACTATGTATATACACTACACTATACACTACTGTGTATATACATTACTATGTATATACACTACACTATACACTACACTATACACTACACTATACACTACACTACACACTACACTATACACTACACTATACACTACTGTGTATATACACTACACTATACACTACACTATACACTACTATGTATATACACTACACTATACACTACACTATACACTACACTATACACTACTATGTATATACACTACACTATACACTACACTATACACTACACTATACACTACTGTGTATATACACTACACTATACACTACACTATACACTACTGTGTATATACACTACACTATACACTACACTATACACTACACTATACACTACTGTGTATATACACTACACTATACACTACACTATACACTACACTATACACTACACTATACACTACTATGTATATACACTACACTATACACTACACTATACACTACTGTGTATATACACTACACTATACACTACACGATACACTACTATGTATATACACTACACTATACACTACTATGTATATACACTACACTATACACTACTATGTATATACAATACACTATACACTACACTATACACTACACTACACACTACACTACATACTACACTATACACTACTGTGTATATACACTACACTATACACTACTGTGTATATACACTACACTATACACTACACTATACACTACACTATACACTACACTATACACTACTGTGTATATACACTACACTATACACTACTGTGTATATACACTACACTATACACTACTGTGTATATACACTACTGTGTATATACACTACACTATACACTACACTATACACTACTATGTATATACACTACACGATACACTACTGTGTATATACACTACACTATACACTACACTATACACTACTGTGTATATACACTACTATGTATATACACTACACTATACACTACACTATACACTACACTATACACTACACTACACTATACACTACTGTGTATATACACTACACTATACACTACACTACACTATACACTACTATGTATATACACTACACTATACACTACACTATACACTACACTATACCCTACTATGTATATACACTACACTATACACTACACTATACACTACTGTGTATATACACTACACTATACACACTATACACTACTGTGTATATACACTACACTATACACTACACTATACACTACACTATACACTACTGTGTATATACACTATACTATACACTACACTATACACTACACTATACACTACTGTGTATATACACTACACTATACACTACTGTGTATATACACTACACTATTCACTACTATACACTACACTATACACTACACACTACTATGTATATACACTACACTATACACTACACTATACACTACACACTACACTATACACTACACTATACACTACACTATACACTACTATACACTACACTATACACTACACTATACACTACACTATACACTACACACTACACTATACACTACACTATACACTACTGTGTATATACACTACACTATACACTACTGTGTATATACACTACACGATACACTACACTACACACTACACTATACACTACACTATACACTACACTATACACTACACTATACACTACACTATACACTACTATGTATATACACTACACTATACACTACACTATACACTACACTATACACTACACTATACACTACACTACACTATACACTAATGTGTATATGCACTACACTATACACTACACTATACACTACTGTGTATATACATTACACTATACACTACACTATACACTACACAACACACTACACTATACACTACTGTGTATATACACTACACTATACACTACACTACACACTACACTATACACTACACTATACACTACACTATACACTACTGTGTATATGCACTACGAACTCCCAACGTAAGTGCCACGCTGTAGACCGGACACTGCCCTGGGTGACCTTTGGCGTTTTGCGTTTGCAGGAGGATTCGACGCTCGACGCCGCCGAGAAGATTCTCAACGAGTGGGCCAACGTCGACTAAGGGCGGGGGGTTTGGGGGGGCGGGGATTGGGGGGGGCACATCCTCGGAGGAGATGGAACGGGTGGCCCCGCTCGGCCCCGCCAACTCAACCTGCTTGGCCTTCGCCCTGCTTGGCCCCGCCCCCTCGCCCTGCTTGGCCCCGCCCTTTGTAGCCCCGCCCTCTCGCCCTGCGTGGCCACGCCCCCTCGCCCAGCAGCAGCGGCGCAAGGCACGGCTCGGTCCCAGCTCCGAGTGGAAAAACGACGACGAGCAGCACCCCGTGCCGTGCCAGGGCTCGGAGCTGGCTCGGAGCTGGCTCGGTGCTGGCTCGGGGCTGGCTCCGTGCTGGCTCAGAGCTGGCCCCGTGCTGGCTCCTTGCTGGCTCAGTGCTGGCTCGGAGCTGGCCCCGTGCTGGCTCCTTGCTGGCTCAGTGCTGGCTCGGAGCTGGCTCGGAGCTGGCTCGGGGCTGGCTCGGGGCTGGCTCTGTGCTGGCTCTGTGCTGGCTCCATGCTGGTTCCGTGCTGGCCCCGTGCTGGCTCGGTGCTGGCTCGGTGTTGGCTCCTTGCTGGCTCCGTGCTGGCTCGGAGCTGGCTCGGAGCTGGCTCGGAGCTGGCCCCGTGCTGGCTCCGTGCTGGCTCCTTGCTGGTCCCGTGCTGGCTCGGAGCTGGCTCGGTGCTGGCTCCATGCTGGCTCCGTGCTGGCTCCGTGCTGGCCCCTTGCTGGCTCGGTGCTGGCCCCGTGCTGGCTCGGTGCTGGCTCGGTGTTGGCTCCTTGCTGGCTCCGTGCTGGCTCGGAGCTGGCTCGGAGCTGGCTCGGAGCTGGCCCCGTGCTGGCTCCGTGCTGGCTCCTTGCTGGTCCCGTGCTGGCTCGGAGCTGGCTCGGTGCTGGCTCCATGCTGGCTCCGTGCTGGCTCCGTGCTGGCCCCTTGCTGGCTCGGTGCTGGCCCCGTGCTGGCTCGGTGCTGGCTCGGTGTTGGCTCCTTGCTGGCTCCGTGCTGGCTCGGAGCTGGCTCGGAGCTGGCTCGGAGCTGGCCCCGTGCTGGCTCCGTGCTGGCTCCTTGCTGGTCCCGTGCTGGCTCGGAGCTGGCTCGGTGCTGGCTCCATGCTGGCTCCGTGCTGGCTCCGTGGTGGCCCCTTGCTGGCTCCGTGCTGGCTCGGAGCTGGCTCGGTGCTGGCTCCGTGCTGGCTCCGTGCTGGCTCGGTGCTGGCTCGGAGCTGGCTCAGAGCTGGCTCGGAGCTGGCCCGGAGCTGGCTCCGTGCTGGCTCCGTGCTGGCTCCGTGCTGGCTCGGAGCTGGCTCGGTGCTGGCTCGGTGCTGGCTCGGTGCTGGCTCGGTGCTGGCCCGGTGCTGGCTCGGGTGTGTGTGTGTGCACCAGTGGGGGGTGGAAAGCAAGCACTTGCGTAGCGCCCAGCACTTTAATAAAATCTTTAAATCTTAGTTTTATTCCTTTGTAAGCTCCGCCCCTCCCACTCCCATTCCACCGACGACGACAACATCAACAATAACAACAATAGCATCAAACAACAGCATAAAAACAACAATTGCGGCAACGTTAACAACATCAAAACCACAACAACAAATAGTTTAAATCCTTGATTTAAAGCTTTCGTGACCGCAAGGATTCATCTTCTTTGGTTCTTTCGGTAAAGTCACCACCACGTAGAATGAGAATAAAATAATAAATTGATGAAGTAAAATAACAATATTGTCACGACGTTTCGGCCACAACACAAGCGGCCTTCATCAGGTGAAGGGACGAGACTGTCTGGTAGGACAGCGCTTCAGACAGTCTCGTCCCTTCACCTGATGAAGGCCGCTTGTGTTGTGGCCGAAACGTCGTGAGAATTTTATCGCGCTATTTTTATTTTATCAATTTATTATTTTATTCTCATTCTACGTGGGTGGTGACTTTACCGAAAGAACCAAAGACGATGTTTAAATCCTCGTTCGATTCACCGCCTCGATTAAATCGCCCGTTCAAATCCCCTCCCCCGCTGCCGCCGCCCGCTAATCCGCGCGGTGCAGTTGACCGGAGCCATTGGTCTCCATCCAGCAGTGGATCGACGGCGGCGGAGCCGCCACGTGGACGAGGGAACACCGCTGAACGTCCGACAGGAGCGCTGTTTGTGGCTGGCCGTTTGGCGTTTCTGTCGGGGCCAGCCAGCTCGTCTGACGTGTCCGCGTGATCGCGGTGAGACTTCGATTGAACAATAAAATTGAACTGGAGCCCCAAAAAACTCCCCGGGTCCACCGCTGTATCTCTCGATTATTGACCTCCGTTCACACGCTCCACCCACTGTGGCTCTAGGCTCCACCCACTGTGGCTCTAGGCTCCACCCACTGTGGCTCTAGGCTCCACCCACTGCGGTTTGAGCCCCACCCACTGTGGATCCAGGCCCTCCAACTGTGGGGCTAGGCTCCGCCCACTGTGGCTCTAGGCTCCACCCACTGCGGTCTGAGCCCCACCCACTGTGGATCCGGGCTTCCAACTGTGGGTCTAGGCCCCCACCCACTGTGCTCTCGGCTCCACCCACTGCTCCAGGCTCCACCCACTGCTCCAGGCTCCACCCACTGCGGTATAGGCCCCACCCACTGTCGTCTAGGCCCCATCCACTGTGCTCTAGGCTCAACCCACTGCGGTGTAGGCCCCACCCACTGTGCTCTAGGCTCCACCCACTGCGGTCTAGGCCCCACCCACTGTCGTCTAGGCCCCACCCACTGTCGTCTAAGCCCCATCCACTGTGCTCTAGGCTCCACCCACTGTGCTCTAGGCTCCACCCACTGCGGTCTAGGCCCCACTCACTCTGGTCTCGGGCTGGAGGTCACGGTGGAGGGCGGGGGGGTTGGGGGAGGGGCTGCAGGTGACAGTGTGGAGCGGGGGTGGAATTGGGGGAGGGGCTGTAGCTCACTGTGGGGGGGGGGCTTGGAGGTCACGGCGGGACGTGGGGGCCGGAAGTAGCCCGGTGACCCCGGAACTACAACACGAGGGGGCTGCTTGTGGCTACTCTAAGATGTCTTCCCTTGTTGCGCGCTCCTCACGAAGCCTTCCGACAAAGCGTTGACTTTTGTTCGGTTCTGTCGAACGTCCGTCGAACGTCCGTGGAACGTCCGTGGAACGACCCTTGAACGTTCGTGGAACGACCCTCGAACGTTCGTGGAACGTCCGCCGAACGTTCGTGGAACGTCCGTGGAACGTTCGGTCGCCGTGGCGGAGATCAACAACATCACCATCAACAACATCATCAACAACACCATCAACAACATCAACACCATCAACAACATCACCATCAACAACGTCACCAACAACATCATCACCATCAACAACATCACCATCAATAACATCACCATCAACAACAACCTCAACATCACCATCAACAACATCACCACCATCAACATCACCACCATCAACAAAAGCGTCAAGAACATCGTCAGCTAAGTAAGCTGTTGTGCTCCCATCTCGTATACTTATTAAGATGTTTGGTATTGTTATAAATATAATAATATATTATCATTGTTATGTCCACTGCTGAACGAGGGGGGTGGCGGGGAACGTCGTTTACAAAGAATCAAGACGTCCGTCGTTCTTTTAGACATGCGGGAGGAGGAGGGTAAATCCGAAAAGCTACGAAGCGCATTGTGATGGTGTATGTGTGTACGTTGAACTTCTTTCGCACCGTACGTAGCCAACCGTGTGAATCGGGAGGTGGTGGTGATGGGGTGGTGGTGGTGATGGGGTGGTGGTGGTGATCGGGGTGGTGGTGGTGATCGGGGTGGTGGTGATGATGATGGTGTTGGTGATGGGGTGGTGGTGGTAATGATGATGGTGTTAGTGATGATGGTGGTGGTGATGATGATGGCGGTGGTGATGATGATGGTGTTAGTGATGATGGTGGTGGTGATGGTGGTGGTGATGGTGATGATGGGGTGGCGATGATGATGATGGTGGTGGTGATGGTGGTGATAGTGGTGGTGATAGTAGTGATGATGATGGGGTGGCGGTGGTGATGATGTTGGTGGTGATAGTGGTGGTGATAGTGGTGATGATGATGGTGGTGATGGTGGTGGTGATAGTGGTGATGATGATGATGATGGGGTGGCGGTGATGATGATACTAATGGGGTGGCGGTGGTGATGATGTTGGTGGTGATAGTGGTGGTGATAGTGGTGATGATGATGGTGGTGGTGATGATGGTGGTGGTGGTGATGATGATGATAGGGTGGCGGTGATGATGATACTAATGGGGTGGCGGTGGTGATGATGTTGGTGGTGATGTTGGTGGTGATAGTGGTGGTGATAGTGGTGATGATGATGATGGTGGTAATGATGATGATGGTGGTGATAATGGTGGTTCGATTAGCGCGGTTGGCTACGTACGGTGCGAAAGAAGTTCAACACACACACACACTGATGATCGCCACTGGTGTTGGCTGCGAGCGGTTAATCGAACTTGGGTCAGCCGAGTGGAGAGGCGCTGCAGGGCAACTGGGCACCCGATTCAGTGGGAGAGGATCACCATTCTGTGCCACTGATGTCAGCCGTGAGCCATCGAAATCTAAACTCGCTATGGGAATCGGGTTCCACGGTGGCTATGAGATGTTGACTACCTCGCCTGGTACACAGGAGGTCGTGGATTCGATCCAAATCCTGATGCCTGCTGCTGTATATTTGGAGTCTGCGTCTCTCTATCTCTCATCATCATCACGGTGGCTATGAGATGTTGACTACCTCGCCTGGTACACAGGAGGTCGTGGGTTCGATCCAAATCCTGATGCCTGCTGCTGCTGTATATTTGGAGTCTGCGTCTCTCTCTCTCATCATCATCATCACGGTGGCTATGAGATGTTGACTACCTCGCCTGGTATACAGGAGGTCGTGGGTTCCATCCCGACCCTGACGCCTTCTGCTGCTGCTGCTGTAGATTTCGAGTTTGCGTCTCTCTCTCATCATCATCATCATCACGGTGGCTATGAGATGTTGACTACCTCGCCTGGTACACAGGAGGTCGTAGGTTCGATCCCGACCCCCGACGCCTCCTGCTGTACATTTGGAGTCTGCGTCTCGCTCTTTTCCATGGTCGAGTGGATTTTTCTCCGGCTCCTCCGCTTTTCGCCTTCCACATGGAGAATCGGCATCACCATCATCACCATCATCACCATCGCCGCGCGTTTAGAGTGTTTGCTGCTGTAAATTCCCACGTGATGACGACGATGACGATGACGACGACCATCCACTTGAGTGAGGTATCGTTTGCGATGGCCAGCTCCCTTCTGACAACGAGCCACACGGCAGCGGCCACAGTGAGTTGGCGGCGGTCGCCTCCGGCCAGCGGTGGACACTCCACGTTACCGTGGCGGGCGGCAGGTGTCGTCGATGGGTTGGGTGGGCGGAACGACAAGGCCCGTTGACTCGGCAACCCGCAACTTTGCGGTACTAGTTTTATCAGCCCCCCCCGTCCCCCGTCCCCCCGGGGAAGGGAGGGATGATGGGTCGAGTGTGAAATCGTCCAAACCCTCGGGGACGGACGGGCGGGCGGACAGGGAGACGACAGGGAGACAGGGAGACAGACGGACAGGGAGACAGACGGACAGGGAGACAGACGGACAGGGAGACAGACGGACAGGGAGACAGACGGACAGGGAGACAGACGGACAGGGAGACAGACGGACAGGGAGACAGACGGACAGGGAGACAGACGGACAGGGAGACGACAGAGAGACAGACGGACAGGGAGACAGACGGACAGGGAGACAGACGGACAGGGAGACAGATGCAGGGAGACAGACGGACAGGGAGACAGACGGACAGGGAGACAGACGGACAGGGAGACAGACGGACAGGGAGACAGACGGACAGGGAGACAGACGGACAGGGAGACAGGGAGACAGACGGATGGATGCAGGGAGACAGACGGACAGGGAGACAGACGGACAGGGAGACAGACGGACAGGGAGACAGACGGACAGGGAGACAGGGAGACAGACGGATGGATGCAGGGAGACAGACGGACAGGGAGACAGACGGACAGGGAGACAGACGCAGGGAGACAGACACAGGGAGACAGACGGACAGGGAGACAGACGGACAGGGAGACAGACGGACAGGGAGACAGACGCAGGGAGACAGAAGGACAGGGAGACAACAGGGAGACAGACGGACAGGGAGACAGACGGACAGGGAGACAGGGAGACAGACGGACAGGGAGACAGGGAGACAGACGGACAGGGAGACAGGGAGACAGACGGACAGGGAGACAGACGGACAGGGAGACGACAGGGAGACAGACGGACAGGGAGACAGACGGACAGGGAGACAGACGGACAGCGAGACAGACGGACAGCGAGACAGACGGACAGCGAGACAGACGGACAGGGAGACAGAGAGTCGTACATCTCTCAGTAAATCTCTCTCGCTGTCTGATCTCTGTGTTTGTGAGCGTGAATGAGCATGTGTGAGTGTGTGAGTAAGTGTGTGAGTTAGTGTGTAAGTGTGTGAGTAAGTGTGTGAGTGTGTGAGTAAGTGTGTGAGTGTGTAAGTGTGTGAGTTAGTGTGTAAGTGTGTGAGTGAGTGTGTGAGTGTGTGAGTAAGTGTGTGAGTGTGTGAGTAAGTGTGTGAGTGAGTGTGTGAGTGAGTAAGTGTGTGAGTGTGTGAGTGAGTGTGTGAGTAAGTGTGTGAGTGTGTGTGAGTAAGTGTGTGAGTAAGTGTGTGAGTGAGTGTGTGAGTAAGTGTGTGAGTAAGTGTGTAAGTGTGTGAGTGAGTGTGTGAGTGAGTGTATGAGTGAGTGTGTGAGTGAGTGTGTGAGTGTGTGAGTAAGTGTGTGAGTAAGTGTGTGAGTGAGTGTGTGAGTGAGTGAGTGTGTGAGTGAGTGTGTGAGTGAGTGTGTAAGTGTGTGAGTAAGTGTGTGAGTAAGTGTGTAAGTGTGTGAGTGAGTGAGTGTGAGTAAGTGTGTGAGTGAGTGTGTGAGTAAGTGTGTGAGTGAGTGTGTGAGTAAGTGTGTGAGTGTGTGAGTAAGTGTGTGAGTAAGTGTATGAGTAAGTGTGTGAGTGAGTGTGTGAGTAAGTGTGTGAGTGAGTGTGTGAGTAAGTGTGTGTGTGTGAGTGTGTGAGTAAGTGTGTGAGTGTGTGTGTGAGTAAGTGTGTGAGTAAGTGTGTGAGTGAGTGTATGAGTAAGTGTGTGAGTGTGTGTGTGAGTGAGTGTGTGAGTAAGTGTGTGAGTGTGTGAGTAAGTGTGTGAGTTAGTGTATGAGTGAGTGTGTAAGTAAGTGTGTGAGTAAGTGTGTGTGTGAGTGAGTGTATGAGTGAGTGTGTGAGTAAGTATGTGAGTAAGTATGTGAGTAAGTGTGAGTGTGTGAGTAAGTGTGTGAGTGAGTGTGTGAATAAGTGTGTGAGTGAGTGTGTGAGTGAGTGTGTGAGTAAGTGTGTGAGTGTGTAAGTAAGTGTGTGAGTGAGTGTGTGAGTGAGTGTATGAGTGAGTGTGTGAGTAAGTGTGAGTGAGTGTGTAAGTGTGTGAGTATGTGAGTAAGTGTGTGAGTGTGTGAATAAGTGTGTGAGTGTATGAGTGAGTGTGTGAGTAAGTGTGAGTGAGAGTGTAAGTGTATGAGTGTGTGAGTGTGTGAGTAAGTGTGTGAGTAAGTGTGTGAGTGAGTGTAGAAGTGTGTGAGTAAGTGTGTGAGTGTGTGAGTAAGTGTGTGAGTGTGAAAGTGTGTGAGTGTGAGTGTGTGAGTAAGTGTGTGAGTGTGTGAGTAAGTGTGTGAGTGTGTGAGTGCGTGAGTGTGTGAGTGTGTGAGTAAGTGTGTGAGTGTGAAAGTGTGTGAGTGTGTAAGTGTGTGAGTGTGTGAGTAAGTGTGTGAGTGTGAGTGTGTGAGTAAGTGTGTGAGTGTGTGAGTAAGTGTGTGAGTGAGTGTGTAAGTGTGTGAGAAGTGTGAGCGGTGGTTAGTGCTACGCTGCGCTACGAACCCGGCGGCCCGGGTTCGATTCCAGCTCACGGCCAACACCACCGGTGACGATTATCTGAACCGGTCCTGGGTCTCCCCTAGGTCAACTCAGCCCTCCCCCCATTCACTCCTCCCTCCCTCCCTCCCCTCCTCCCTCCCCTCCTCCTCCCTCCCTCACTCCCCTCCCCTCCCTCCCTCCCCTCCCTCCCCTCCCCTCCCTCCCTCCCTCCCTCCCCTCCTCCCTCCCCCCTCCCTCCACTCACTCCTCCCTCCCTCCCCTCCTTCTCTCCACTCACTCTCAACCCCTCACTCCCCCCATTCACTCCTCCCTCCCCTCCCCTCCCCCTACTCACCCCTCCCCCCGTCCATCCATCCCTCCCCCCACTCCCCCCCCGCCCACTCACTCCTCCCTCCCCCCTCCCGCCTTCCCTCCCCCCACTCACTCCTCCCTCCCTCCACTCACTCTCAACCCCTCCCTCCCCCCATTCACTCCTCCCTCCCTCCTTCCCTCCCCCCACTCACTCCTCCCTCCCCCCACTCTCAACCCCTCCCCCCACTCACTCCTCCCTCCCCCCACTCACTCTCAACCCCTCACTCCCCCCACTCACTCCTCCCTCCCCCCACTCACTCCTCCCTCCCCCCACTCTCAACCCCTCCCCCCACTCACTCCTCCCTCCCCCCACTCACTCTCAACCCCTCACTCCCCACACTCACTCCTCCCTCCCCCCACTCACTCCTCCCTCCCCCCACTCTCAACCCCTCCCCCCACTCTCAACCCCTCCCTCCACTCACTCTCAACCCCTCCCTCCCCCCACTCTCAACCCCTCCCCCCACTCACTCTCAACCCCTCCCTCCCCCCACTCACTCCCCCCCCCGCCCCCCCCCCCCCACTCCCTCTCCCCCTCCTCTCCGCGTGAACCCCTCAGCCAGGGCCCGTGATGGCGGCGTGGTCCCAGAGCCCGCAGACCCTGGGGTCGCTGTGCGTGGAGGCCTGCTTGCGCAACCTCACACAGACGCTCTGCTACCGCGACACGGCAGGGGCCGCCGGTGGCCCCGGTGGCCCCGGTGGCCCCGGTGGACCCGGCGGCCCCGGTGCCCTGCGTCTCCGTCCGGACGTCTTCCTGCCCAGCGAGATCGCAGACCGCCTGGTCAACGCGTGAGTGGCCGAACGGACGCCTCGCTCGCTCGCTCGCTCGCTCGCTCGTTCACTCACTCATTCACTCGCTCGCTCGCTCACACACTCACTCGTTCACACACTCGCTCACACACTCATTCACTCACTCACACACTCATTCACTCGTTCACTCACTCACACACTCGTTCACTCGTTCACTCACTCACACACTCGCTCGCTCGCTCACACACTCGTTCACTCACACTCATTCACTCACCCACCCACTCACTCACACTCACTCAACCACGCACTCACTCACACTCATTCACTCACTCACCCACCCACTCACCCACCCACTCACTCACACTCACTCACCCACCCACTCACTCACCCACCCACTCACTCACTCACACACACTCACACACTCACTCACACACTCACACACTCACTCACACACTCATTCACTCGCTCACTCACACACTCTCACACTCTTTCACACACTCACACACTCACTCACACACTCATTCACTCACTCACACTCACTCACCCACCCACTCACTCACTCGCACACTCACTCAGCCACTCATTCACTCACACACTCACTCACACACTCACTCACCCACCCACCCACTCACTCACCCACTTACACACTCACTCACCCACTCATTCACTCACACACTCACTCACACACACACTCACACACTTACACACTCACACACTCACTCACACACTCACTCACCCACTCATTCACTCACACACTCACTCACACACTCACACACTCACTCACCCACCCACCCACTCACTCACCCACTCATTCACTTACACACTCATTCACCCATTCACTCACTCACTCATTCACTCTGTCATTCACTCACACACTCATTCACTCACACACTCACACACTCACCCACTTCCTCACACACTTACTCACCCATTCACTCACTCACCTACTCACTAACTCATTCACTCTGTCATTCACTCACACACTCACAATCCCTCCCTCCCTCCCCTCCCTCCCCTCCCCTCCCCTCCCTCCCTCCCCCCCAATCTCCCCCCCACCCCCCCGCCCACCCCCCCACCCCGCCCACCCCCCCATCTCTCCCCAGGTTCGTGTCGCTGCACTCCCTGGAGGGCTCCGTGCACCACCACCACCACCAGGGCTTCCTGCGCGCCTTCTCAGAGCCGCGAGTGGCACGGCTGCAGCGTGTCTCCCTGCGCGAGTTTGACTTCTCTGACTCGGACCTGGACGCCCTGTGCAATCAGGTGATGGCGAGTGAGGGGAGGGGGTTGGTGGGTGGTGGGTGGGTGGGGGTGGGTGGGGGGTGGGTGGCGTGTTAAGGCCAACTCCACGTTTCATTAAAGCTAAAACGAAACTAATGAAATATAAATTTGGATTTGTACCACTGGCGTCTACAAACTGAGTTGCCTCTGTGCTAGTAGGTAGTTACATTGGAGAAACCAAACGACATGTCTCGGACCGCATCCGTGAACGCAAAGCAGACCTTAAACACGGTAGGTACCAACACCTCGGCCGTGGCAGATCATTGTTCTAATTCAGTAGGCTCACGTGACATTGACTTCTCCAAGACAGAGGTTCTTTGCAAGCCATCTGGCTTCCATGAGAGATTTGTTCATGAGGCTATCCACATATACAAGCACAGAGACAAATTTCAACCGAGAAGATGGATTCTATACTAAGCAATCATTGGAAAGATTTGATAAACCATGTCAGGTCTTAATTGATTGTTCACGCTGACAGTGGCTTTCAGACAGCATACATTATAAAAAATTTCGTCTCCCCCCTCCTCTTTTCAGAATATAGATGGACTAGTCCTGGGTAAACTGCCAAATCGTTGCGCGTGGCGCTAACGTTTTTTATAAATAAATAAATGCGCCGTTTAAAAATAAATTTATGCGAACCAACACACCTGAAGATGACCGTTTGAGTTATGGTCGAAACGTCGTGGGATTTTTTATTGTTTTATATATTTTTTTATTATTTTGTTGTTTCTCTTCAACGTGGTGACTTTACCGAAAAAACTAAGAATATAATAAAATATATATAAAACAAGACAACCGTTTGTGTTATGGTAGAAACGTCGTGAGAATTTTTTTATTGTTTTATGCATATTTTTTATTATTTTGTTGTTTCCCTTCAACGTGGTGACTTTACCGAAATAACTAAGAATATGAACTACTGCAGTCACGAAAGCTTTAAATCAAAATTTAAAACTAAACTGTTACTTGAAACACTCTGTGGTTTGTTCGGTGAAGTCAACGTGGGTGGGAAAATAACGAAATAAAGTAATATGTCGCGTGATAATATATCACGTGATTATTATTATTATTGTTATTATTTTTCTCTTCCTACTTTGGCGACTTTGCCCAAAGAAACAAGGAGTTTGGATACCTGCAGACACGAAAGCTTCAAATCAAGGTTTTGCTTTTAATCTTGCGAGGCGTTAAGGCCAACTCCCCGTTTGATTAAAACTAAAAACTAAAACTGTTGCTTTAAAATTTCGTCAGGCGTAAAGGCCAACTCCCTTCTGCTTTGGTTCTTTCGGTAAAGTCACCACCACGTAGAATGAAAATAAAATAATAAATTGATTACGTAAAATAACACAATAATATTCTCACGACGTTTCGGCCACAACACAAGCGGCCTTCATCAGGTGAAGGGACGAGACTGTCTGGTAGGACAGCGCTGGAACGTGGCTCTTTCACTCCAGCGCTGTCCTACCAGACAGTCTCGTCCCTTCACCTGATGAAGGCCGCTTGTGTTGTGGCCGAAACGTCGCGAGAATATCATTGTGTTATTTAATTTTATCTTATCAATTTATTATTTTATTCTCATTCTACGTGGTGGTGACTTTACCGAAAGAACCAAAGAAGATGAATCATTGCAGTCACGAAAGCTTTAAATCGAAAAGCCAACTCCCTTGTTTAATTAAAAACTAAAACTATTACTTTTAATTTTGTCAGGGGTAAAGCCCCCCCCCCCCACCCCCCCCCCCACCCCCCCGATCTGCCGTGTAGCTCTTTGTCAGATGTGACGCTGGCCGTCACAGACGATGGTGGTCGTCATCATCATCATCATCACGTGGTGGTGATGATGATGATGACTTGCATCGTCACAGACGATGGTGGTCATCATCATCATCATCACGTGGTGATGATGATGATGATGACTTGCATCGTCACAGACGATGGTGGTCATCATCATCATCACGTGGTGGTGATGATGACGATGACTTGCATCGTCACAGACGATGGTGGTCATCATCATCATCATCACGTGGTGGTGATGATGATGATGATGACTTGCATCGTCACAGACGATGGTGGTCATCATCATCATCATCACGTGGTGGTGATGATGATGATGACTTGCATCATCACAGACGATGGTGGTCATCATCATCATCATCACGTGGTGGTGATGATGATGATGATGACTTGCATCGTCACAGACGATGGTGGTCATCATCATCATCACGTGGTGGTGATGATGATGATGACTTGCATCATCACAGACGATGGTGGTCATCATCATCATCATCACGTGGTGGTGATGATGATGATGACTTGCATCATCACAGACGATGGTGGTCATCATCATCATCACGTGGTGGTGATGATGATGATGACTTGCATCATCACAGACGATGGTGGTCATCATCATCATCATCACGTGGTGGTGATGATGATGATGATGATGACTTGCATCGTCACAGACAATGGTGGTCATCATCATCATCATCACGTGGTGGTGATGATGATGATGATGACTTGCATCGTCACAGACGATGGTGGTCATCATCATCATCATCACGTGGTGGTGGTGGTGATGATGATGATGATGACTTGCATCCCACCGGGATTTTTTTTCTGTTTGCACAGAGTCGCACGCAAAGTCACTTTAAGATGTTTTTTTCCTGTCTGTGTTTTTGTTTTTTTGTTTGAATTTGGTTGCGCCCGATTCAAGAGCCGCACGGCTCGCAGGGCTTTGACAAAATAAGCTGAAACCGAACACTGAACGTGAGAATTGCGGACGCCAAATATTCTGAGCGCAGGGTGATGATTCTGCAGCCTCGTAGAGACCCCCGAGTGACCCATAGACCCACAGAGACCTATAGAGACCCACAGAAATCTCTCAGCAGAGAAGACCCATACTATTTCTGAACTGTTTTATTGTTACCAGGTACGCCCCCCCCCACTGATCTGCCGTGTAGCTCTTTGTCAGAGGTGACGCCGGCCGTCACAGACGATGGTGGGCAACATCATCATCATCACCACCACCACGTGGGAATGCAGACGGCAAATATTCTGAACGCAGGGTGATGATTCTGCAGCCTCGTAGAGACCCCCGAGTGACCCATAGACCCACAGAGACCTATAGAGACCCACAGAAATCTCTCGGCAGAGACTATTTTATTGTTACCAGGTACGCTCCCCCCCACTGATCTGCCATGTAGCTCTTTGTCAGAGGTGACCGTGGCCTTATCGTCGTCATCGTCGTCGTCATCGTCGTCACGTGGAAATTTCTATCAGCAGCCAAACGCTCGAGGATGCGTGGTGACGTTGATTTCTGAATCTGGAGACAAAATCCACTCGACCACGGAGAGAGAGAGAGAGACACACAGACTCCAAATCTACAGCAGCAGCAGCAGCAGGCATCGTCAGGGTCAGGATCGAACCCACGACCTCCTGTACACCAGGCGAGGTAGTCAACATCTCATAGCCACCGTGATGATGATGATGATGAGAGAGAGACGCAGACTCCAAATACACAGCAGCAGAGTCGGGATCGAACTCACTCCTGTAGACAAGGCGAGGTAGTAAACATCTCATAGCCACCGTGATGATGAGAGAGAGAGACACACAGACTCCAAATCTACAGCAGCAGCAGGCATCGTCAGGGTCAGGATCGAACCCACGACCTCCTGTGGACCAGGCGAGGTAGTCAACATCTCATAGCCACTGCATAGAGGCTCATCAACAGTGTCCAGGTCACTGGTGCACCAACAACCTCCTCCACCCTCACCCTCCTCCTCACCCTCCTCACCCTCCTCACCCTCACCCTCCTCACCCTCCTCCTCACCCTCACCCTCCTCACCCTCACCCTCCTCACCCTCCTCACCCTCCTCCCCCTCACCCTCCTCACCCTCCTCACCCTCACCCTCCTCACCCTCACCCTCCTCACCCTCCTCACCCTCCTCACCCTCACCCTCCTCACCCTCCTCACCCTCACCCTCACCCTCCTCACCCTCCTCCTCACCCTCCTCACCCTCCTCACCCTCACCCTCCTCACCCTCCTCCTCACCCTCCTCACCCTCACCCTCCTCACCCTCACCCTCACCCTCACCCTCACCCTCCTCACCCTCCTCCTCACCCTCACCCTCCTCACCCTCCTCCTCACCCTCCTCACCCTCACCCTCCTCACCCTCACCCTCACCCTCACCCTCCTCCTCACCCTCACCCTCCTCACCCTCCTCACCCTCCTCACCCTCCTCACCCTCCTCCTCACCCTCACCCTCCTCACCCTCACCCTCCTCACCCTCCTCACCCTCCTCACCCTCACCCTCACCCTCCTCACCCTCCTCCTCACCCTCCTCACCCTCCTCACCCTCACCCTCCTCACCCTCCTCCTCACCCTCACCCTCCTCACCCTCACCCTCACCCTCCTCACCCTCACCCTCCTCACCCTCCTCCTCACCCTCCTCCCCCTCCTCACCCTCCTCACCCTCCTCACCCTCACCCTCCTCACCCTCCTCACCCTCACCCTCACCCTCCTCACCCTCCTCCTCACCCTCACCCTCCTCACCCTCACCCTCCTCACCCTCCTCACCCTCCTCACCCTCACCCTCCTCACCCTCCTCACCCTCCTCACCCTCCTCACCCTCCTCACCCTCCTCACCCTCCTCCTCACCCTCACCCTCCTCACCCTCACCCTCCTCACCCTCCTCACCCTCACCCTCCTCACCCTCCTCCTCACCCTCCTCACCCTCCTCACCCTCCTCACCCTCCTCACCCTCACCCTCCTCACCCTCCTCCTCACCCTCACCCTCCTCACCCTCACCCTCCTCACCCTCTCACCCTCACCCTCCTCACCCTCACCCTCCTCACCCTCCTCACCCTCCTCACCCTCACCCTCCTCACCCTCCTCACCCTCACCCTCCTCACCCTCCTCCTCACCCTCCTCACCCTCCTCACCCTCCTCACCCTCCTCACCCTCACCCTCCTCACCCTCCTCACCCTCACCCTCACCCTCCTCACCCTCCTCCTCACCCTCCTCACCCTCCTCACCCTCACCCTCCTCACCCTCCTCACCTTCTCCCTCATCACCCTCTCCCTCATCACCCTCCTCCTCATCCCCGCCACCACCTCACCTCCCTCACCCTCTCCTCACCCTCACCTCCTCACCCTCCTCCTCACCCTCCCCCTCCTCACCCTCCTCACCCTCACCCTCCTCACCCTCACCCTCCTCACCCTCCTCACCCTCCTCACCCTCACCCTCCTCACCCTCCTCACCCTCACCCTCACCCTCCTCACCCTCCTCCTCACCCTCCTCACCCTCCTCACCCTCACCCTCCTCACCCTCCTCCTCACCCTCCTCACCCTCCTCACCCTCACCCTCACCCTCACCCTCCTCACCCTCACCCTCACCCTCACCCTCCTCACCCTCCTCCTCACCCTCACCCTCCTCCTCACCCTCACCCTCCTCACCCTCACCCTCCTCACCCTCCTCACCCTCCTCACCCTCACCCTCACCCTCCTCACCCTCCTCCTCACCCTCCTCACCCTCCTCACCCTCACCCTCCTCACCCTCCTCCTCACCCTCACCCTCCTCCCCCTCACCCTCACCCTCCTCACCCTCACCCTCCTCACCCTCCTCCTCACCCTCCTCACCCTCCTCACCCTCCTCACCCTCCTCACCCTCACCCTCCTCACCCTCCTCACCCTCACCCTCACCCTCCTCACCCTCCTCCTCACCCTCACCCTCCTCACCCTCACCCTCCTCACCCTCCTCACCCTCCTCACCCTCACCCTCCTCACCCTCCTCCTCACCCTCACCCTCCTCACCCTCACCCTCCTCACCCTCCTCACCCTCACCCTCCTCACCCTCCTCCTCACCCTCCTCACCCTCCTCACCCTCCTCACCCTCCTCACCCTCACCCTCCTCACCCTCCTCCTCACCCTCACCCTCCTCACCCTCACCCTCCTCACCCTCCTCACCCTCACCCTCCTCACCCTCACCCTCCTCACCCTCCTCACCCTCCTCACCCTCACCCTCCTCACCCTCCTCACCCTCACCCTCCTCACCCTCCTCCTCACCCTCCTCACCCTCCTCACCCTCCTCACCCTCCTCACCCTCACCCTCCTCACCCTCCTCACCCTCACCCTCACCCTCCTCACCCTCCTCCTCACCCTCCTCACCCTCCTCACCCTCACCCTCCTCACCCTCCTCACCTTCTCCCTCATCACCCTCTCCCTCATCACCCTCCTCCTCATCCCCGCCACCACCTCACCTCCCTCACCCTCTCCTCACCCTCACCTCCTCACCCTCCTCCTCACCCTCCCCCTCCTCACTCTCCTCACCCTCCTCCTCCTCACCCTCTTCACCCTCCCCCTCCTCACCACCCTCCTCCTTCCCCCCCCCCCCCCCCACTCCCCAGGCCCTGGTGGAGCTGGACCTCACGCACTGCGAGCAACTCACGGCGAGATCGCTCCGCTCGCTGCGCCGCTGCCGGCGCTCGCTCACCGCCCTGGCGCTGCTCGGCTGCCCCGGCGTCTTCTGCGAGCCTCGCGGCGGCGGCGGCGGCGGCGACGACTCGGCCGACGCCGGAGTCACCGGCCGAGTCGCCGGCGCCGGTGGCAACGCGGCCGGCGGCGGCGGCGGCGGCGGAGTCGTGGACGGAGCGCCGTACGCGCGGCCCGGCGAAGCGCCGCCGCCGCCGCCGCCGCCGCCGCCGCTCACCGGGAGGCACGGACACGACGGGGGGGCGCCGGCTGACGAGAGGAAGGGCGGCTCGGTGCCGTGGATGGCGCTGGCACAGGTGGGCGGGAGGGTGGGGCGGTGGTGGTGGTGGTGGTGGGGACGGTGGTGGTGGTGGTGGTGGTGGAAGTGGTGGTGGAGGTGGTGGTGGGGACGGTGGTGGAGGTGGTGGTGGAGGTGGTGGAGGTGGTGGAGGTGGTGGTGGTGGAGGTGGTGGAAGTGGTGGTGGAGGTGGTGGTGGTGGTGACGACAGTGGTGGAAGTGGTGGTGGTGGTGGAAGTGGTGGTGGAGGTGGTGGTGGAGGTGGTGGTGGTGGTGGTGACGACAGTGGTGGAAGTGGTGGTGGAGGTGGTGGAGGTGGTGGTGACGGTGGTGGTGGTGGGGACGGTGGTGCATGTGGTGGTGGAGGTGGTGGTGGTGGTGGGGACGGTGGTGGTGGGGACGGTGGTGCATGTGGTGGTGGAGGTGGTCGTGGTGGTGACGACGATGGTGGTGGAAATGGTGGTGGAGGTGGTGGTGGTGGTGGAGGTCATGGCGATGGTGGTGGTGGTGACTGTGGTGGTGACTGTGGTGGTGACTGTGGTGGTGGATTTGGTGGTGGTGACGATGGTGGTGGAAGTGGTGGTGCAGGTGGTGGTGGTGACTGTGGTGGTGACTGTGGTGGTGGATTTGGTGGTGGTGGCGGCGGTGGTGGATTTGGTGGTGGTGCTGGATTTGGTGGTGGTGACAGCAGTGGTGGTGGTGGTGACGGCTGTGGTGGTGGTGGTGGTCATCTCAGTCAGCCAACCCATGGCATCTGCTGGGTCTGTCCCGTGACCTCCCGTCAGCCTCAAAGTGCACCTAGCCTGGCACAGGCGCCGTGGTGACGTCACCGTCACTCGGTGGCGAGTGGCGGCGGTCGTGACGGTGGCGGTGGTTTTGGTGGTGGTGTTGGTGACGGTGGTTTTGGTGGTGGTGTTGGTGACGGTGGTTTTGGTGGTGGTGTTGGTGGCGGTGGTTTTGGTGGTGGTTGGTGGGGGTGGTGCGCACCACCCCCACCAACCACCATTGGTGTGGCGTTGGCGGTGAGACGTCGGTGTGACGTCATCGTCGCCTGAACGCTCACCACGTCACCTGAACCACGTCTCCTGAACGCTCAACACATTACCTGAACACTCACCACGTCTCCTGAACGCTCAACACATTACCTGAATGCTCACCACGTCTCCTGAACGCTCACCACGTCACCTGAACCACGTCACCTGAACGCTCACCACGTTACCTGAACGCTCACCACGTCACCTGAACCACGTCACCTGAACACTCACCACGTCTCCTGAACGCTCACCACGTCACCTGAACGCTCACCACATTACCTGAATGCTCACCACGTCTCCTGAACGCTCACCACGCCTCCTGAACGCTCACCACGTCACCTGAACCATGTCACCTGAACGCCCACCACGTCACCTGAACGCGCACCAGATCACCTGAACCACGTCTCCCGAACGCTCACCACATTACCTGAACCACGTCACCTGAACGCTCACCACATCACCTGAACCACATCACCTGAACCACATCACCTGAACGCTCACCACGTCACCTGAACGCTCACCACGTCTCCTGAACGCTCACCACGTCTCCTGAACGCTCACCACGTCACCTGAACCACATCACCTGAACGTCCACCACGTCACCTGAACGTCCACCACGTCACCTGAACGCGCACCAGATCACCTGAACCCCGTCACGTGATCTCTCACCACGTCACCTGAACCACGTCACCCGAACGTTCACCACGTCGCCTGAACCCCGTCACCTGATCACTCACCACGTCACCTGATCGCTCACCACGTCACCTGAACCCCGCCACCTGAACCACGTCACCTGATCGCTCACCACGTCACCTGAACCCCGCCTCCTGAACCCCGCCACCTGATCATTCACCACGTCACCTGAACCCCGCCTCCTGAACCCCGCCACCTGATCATTCACCACGTCACCTGAACCCCGCCACCTGAACCCCGTCACCTGATCGCCCACCACATCACCTGAACCACGTCACCTGAACGCTCACCGCATCACCTGATCGCTCACCACGTCACCTGAACCCCGCCACCTGAACCCCGCCACCTGATCGCTCACCACGTCACCTGATCGCTCACCACGTCACCTGAACCCCGCCACCTGAACCCCGCCACCTGAACCCCGCCACCTGATCACTCACCACCACCCCGCCGCCCGCCAGGACGCGTCTCTGGCCTGCTTTGAGCGCCTCCGCTTCGTGTCGCTGGGCGGCCTCCCGCGTGGCGTGGATGTGGGCGGTGCGCTGGGCTCCCTGCCCGTGCTGGGCGCCCTGCGCCTCAGCAGCACGGAGCTGCCCGAGGACCCGTCCTTCCTGCTCCGCTGGCGCCCCACGTTGCGCTCCCTGGGCCTACACAACTGCGGGCCCACGCCGGCCTACCTGCGGGTCGTCTGCCTCCTCGCCGAGCTGCGGTGAGCCGACGCTGCCGCCGCTGCCGCCGCCGCTACCGCCGCTACCGCCGCTACCGCCGCTACCGCCGCTACCGCCGCTACCGCCGCTACCGCCGCTACCGCCGCCGCCCGTGTAGCAGCGGCGGCTGCTGCTGGTGGTGCTGTAGATTTGGGGTCTGCGTGTCTCTCTGTCTCATCATCATCACGGTGGCTAGGAGATGTTGACTACCTCGCCCTGGTACGCAGGAGGTCGTGGGTTCGATCCCGAGCCTGACCACGCCTGCTGCTGCTGCTGCTGTAGATTTGGGGTCTGCGTATCTCTCTCTCTCATCATGGTGTCTAGGAGATGTTGACTACCTCGCCCTGGTCTAGAGGAGGTCGTGGGTTCGATCCCGAGCCTGACCATGCCTGCTGCTGCTGTAGATTTGGGGTTTGCATCTCTCTCTCTCTCATCATCACGGTGGCTATGAGATGTTGACTACCTCGCCCTGGTACGCAGGAGGTCGTGGGTTCGATCCCGAGCCTGACCATGCCTGCTGCTGCTGCTGCTGGTGCTGTAGATTTGGGGTCTGCGTATCTCTCTCTCTCATCATCATCATCACGGTGGCTATGAGATGTTGGCTACCTCGCCTGGTGTGCAGGAGGTCGTGGGTTCGATCCCGAGCCTGACCATGCCTGCTGCTGCTGCTGTTGTATATTTGGAGTCTGCGTGTCTCTCATCATCATCATGGTGGATAGGAGATGTTGACTACCTCGCCTGGTGTACAGGAGGTCGTGGGTTCGATCCCGAGCCTGACCATGCCTGCTGCTGCTGCTGTATATTTGGAGTCTGCGTCTCTCTCTCTCTCATCATCATCACGGTGGCTAGGAGATGTTGGCTACCTCGCCTGGTGTACAGGAGGTCGTGGGTTCAATCCCACGCCTGACCACGCCTGCTGCTGCTGCTGTAGATTTGGGGTCTGCGTCTCTCTCTCTCATCATGGTGTCTAGGAGATGTTGGCTACCTCGCCTGGTGTGCAGGAGGTCGTGGGTTCGATCCCGACTCTGTCGATGCCTGCTGCTGTATATTTGGAGTCTGCGTCTCTCTCATCATCATCATCATCACGGTGGCTATGAGATGTTGGCTACCTCGCCTGGTCTACAGGAGGTCGTGGGTTCCATCCCGACCCTGACCATGCCTGCTGCTGCTGCTGCTGTAGATTTGGGGTCTGCATATCTCTCTCTCTCATCATCATCACCACGGTGGCTATGAGATGTTGGCTACCTCGCCTGGTCTACAGGAGGTCGTGCGTTCAATCCCGACCCTGACCATGCCTGCTGCTGCTGCTGCTGTAGATTTGGGGTCTGCGTATCTCTCTCTCTCATCATCATCATCACGGTGGCTATGAGATGTTGGCTACCTCGCCCTGGTACGCAGGACGTCGTGGGTTCAATCCCGCGCCTGACCACGCCTGCTGCTGCTGCTGTTATAGATTTGGGGTTTGCGTGTCTCTCTCATCATCATCACGGTGGCTAGGAGATGTTGACTACCTCGCCTGGTACGCAGGAGGTCGTGGGTTCGATCCCGACCCTGACCATGCCTGCTGCTGTATATTTGGGGTCTGCGTGTCTCTCTCTCTCTCATCATCATCACGGTGGCTAGGAGATGTTGACTACCTCGCCTGGTCTACAGGAGGTCGTGGGTTCCATCCCGACCCTGACCATGCCTGCTGCTGCTGCTGTTGTAGATTTGGGGTTTGCGTGTCTCTCTCATCATCATCATCATCACGGTGGCTAGGAGATGTTGGCTACCTCGCCTGGTCTACAGGAGGTCGTGGGTTCGATCCCGACCCTGACCATGCCTGCTGCTGCTGCTGTACATCTGAAGTTTGCGTGTCTCTCTCATCATCATCATCACAGTGGCTATGAGATGTTGGCTACCTTGCCCTGGTACGCAGGAGGTCGTGGGTTCCATCCCGACCCTGACAATGGCTGCTGTATATTTGGAGTCTGCGTCTCTCTCTCATCATCATCACGGTGGTTATGAGATGTTGACTATCTCGCCCTGGTACGCAGGAGGTCGTGGGTTCGATCCCGAGCCTGACTGTGCCTGCTGCTGTAGATTTTGGGTTTGCGGTGTCTCTCTCTCCGTGTTCGTGTGGATTTGTCTCCGGGTCCTCCCGGTTTTTCACGTCACGTTTAGAATCAACGTCACCACTCGTTTAGAGCATTTGGCTGTTCCTATAAATGTCCACGCAGTGACGATGACGATGATGATGATGTTGTTGATTAAGCCACTTTGCTGAGCTATCATTCGTGATGTCCAAGCCGCTTGTGACAGAGCTCAGTGGGGCCTCACCTGTCAGCGATAAAATATTTTGGTTTAGTATGGGACTCTGTGAGTCTCTGTGGGTTTCTGTGGGTCTCTGTGGGTTTCTGTGTGTCTCTGTGGGTCTCTGTGGGTTTATGTGGGTCTCTGTGTGTCTCTGTGTGTCTCTGTGGGTCTCTGTGGGTCTCTGTGGGTCTCTGTGGGTCTCTGTGGGGTCTCTGTGGGTCTCTGTGGGTCTCTGTGGGTTTCTGTGTGTCTCTGTGGGTCTCTGTGGGTTTATGTGGGTCTCTGTGTGTCTCTGTGTGTCTCTGTGGGTCTCTGTGGGTCTCTGTGGGTCTCTGTGGGGTCTCTGTGGGTCTCTGTGTGTCTCTGTGGGTCTCTGTGGGGTCTCTGTGTGTCTCTCTGGGTCTCTGTGGATCTCTGTGGGTCTCTGTAGGTCTCTGTGAGTCTCTGTGGGTCTCTGTGGGTCTCTGTGGGGTCTCTGTGGGGTCTCTGTGTGTCTCTGTGTGTCTCTGTGTCTCTGTGGGTCTCTGTGGGTCTCTGTGAGTCTCTGTGGGTCTCTGTGGGTCTCTGTGTGTCTCTGTGTGTCTCTGTGGGTCTCTGTGTGTCTCTCTGTGGGTCTCTGTGGATCTCTGTGGGTCTCTGTGTGTCTCCGTGGATCTCTGTGTGTCTCTGTGTGTCTCTGTGTGTCTCTGTGTGTCTCTGTGGGTCTCTGTGGGGTCTCTGTGGGTCTCTGTGGGTCTCTGTGGGGTCTCTGTGGGTCTCTGTGTGTCTCTGTGGGTCTCTGTGTGTCTCTCTGGGTCTCTGTGGATCTCTGTGGGTCTCTGTGTGTCTCTCTGGGTCTCTGTGGATCTCTATGGGTCTCTGTGAGTCTCTGTGGGTCTCTGTGGGTCTCTGTGGGTCTCTGTGGGGTCTCTGTGGGGTCTCTGTGTGTCTCTGTGTGTCTCTGTGTCTCTGTGGGTCTCTGTGGGTCTCTGTGAGTCTCTGTGTCTCTCTGTGGGTCTCTGTGGATCTCTGTGGGTCTCTGTGTGTCTCCGTGGATCTCCGTGTGTCTCTGTGTGTCTCTGTGGGTCTCTGTGGGTCTCTGTGGGTCTCTGTGGGTCTCTGTGGGTCTCTGTGGGTCTCTGTGGGTCTCTGTGGGGTCTCTGTGGGTCTCTGTGGGTCTCTGTGGGTCTCTGTGGGTCTCTATGGGTCTCTGTGTGTCTCTGTGGGTCTCTGTGGGTCTCTCTGGGTCTCTGTGGATCTCTGTGGGTCTCTGTAGGTCTCTGTGAGTCTCTGTGGGTCTCTGTGGGTCTCTGTGGGGTCTCTGTGGGGTCTCTGTGTGTCTCTGTGGGTCTCTGTGGGTCTCTGTGAGTCTCTGTGGGTCTCTGTGGGTCTCTGTGTGTCTCTCTGTGGGTCTCTGTGGGTCTCTGTGGATCTCTGTGTCTCTCTGTGGGTCTCTGTGGATCTCTGTGTGTCTCTGTGTGTCTCTGTGGGTCTCTGTGGGTCTCTGTGGGTCTCTGTGGGTCTCTGTGGGTCTCTGGGGTCTCTGTGGGTCTCTGTGGGTCTCTGTGTGTCTCTGTGGGTCTCTGTGTGTCTCTCTGGGTCTCTGTGGATCTCTGTGTGTCTCTGTGTGTCTCTGTGGGTCTCTGTGGGTCTCTGTGGGTCTCTGTGAGTCTCTGTGGGTCTCTGTGAGTCTCTGTGGGTCTCTGTGTGTCTCTGTGTGTCTCTGTGGGTCTCTGTGGGTCTCTGTGGGGCCTCTGTGGGTCTCTGTGGGTCTCTGTGGGTCTCTGTGTGTCTCTGTGTGTCTCTGTGGGTCTCTGTGGGGTCTCTGTGGGTCTCTGTGGGTCTCTGTGGGTGTTTGTGGGTCTCTGTGGGTCTCTGTGGGTCTCTGTGTGTCTCTGTGTGTCTCTGTGGGTCTCTGTGGGTCTCTGTGGGTCTCTGTGTGTCTCTGTGGGTCTCTGTGTGTCTCTGTGGGTCTCTGTGGGTCTCTGTGGGTCTCTGTAGGTCTCTGTGAGTCTCTGTGGGTCTCTGTGGGTCTCTGTGGGTCTCTGTGGGTCTCTGTGGGTCTCTGTGTGTCTCTGTGGGTCTCTGTGAGTCTCTGTGTGTCTCTGTGAGTCTCTGTGGGTCTCTGTGGGTCTCTGTGGGTCTCCGTGGGTTTTTGTGGATCTCTGTGGGTCTCTGTGGGTCTCTGTGGGTCTCTGTGGGTCTCTGTGTGTCTCTATGGGTCTCTGTGGGTCTCTGTGGGTCTCTGTGGATCTCTGTGGATCTCTGTGGGTCTCTGTGGGTCTCTGTGGGTCTCTGTGGGTCTCTGTGGATCTCTGTGGGTCTCTGTGGGTCTCTGTGGGTCTCTGTGGGTCTCTATGGGTCTCTGTGGGTCTCTGTGGGTCTCTGTGGGTCTCTGTGGTTCTCTGTGGGTCTCTGTGTGTCTCTGTGGGTCTCTGTGGGTCTCTGTGGGTCTCTCTGGGTCTCTGTGTGTCTCTGTGGGTCTCTGTGAGTCTCTGTGTGTCTCTGTGGGTCTCTGTGGGTCTCTATGGGTCTCTATGGGTCTCTGTGGGTCTCTTTAGGTCTCTGTGGGTCTCTGTGGGTCTCTGAATCTGCTGCCGGAAATTCCCACGTGATGTTTAGTTCACTTCCCTAGGCGCTGCTGCTGCTGCTGCTCGTTACATCACGGAGACTTGCCCCAAACAGTCTGTTGAAGGCTACACGGGGGACCTTTGTCATTTGTGTGTAGGGTGGTGCTGGCCACCCACCACCTCTCGTGTGCCACAGTGCCGGCCTTAGTGGGTGCTGCTACTTGCTACTAACAGCACTTGCCCCAACAGTCTGGGAGGCTCTATGGGGGACATTTGGATTTGTCTTTATCGCCCCTCTCCTACCCCTCACCCCACCCCCACCCCACCCCCACCCCCACCCCACTCCACCCCCACCCCACCCCAACCCCACCCTCACCTCAACCCCACCCCACCCCCACCCCACCCCCACCCCACCCCGCCCCACCCAACCCCCACCCCAACCAAACCTCCACCCCAACCCCACCCCAACCCCAACCCCACCCCAACCCCACCCCAACCCCAACCCCACCCCAACCCCACCCCAACCCCAACCCCACCCCAACCCCACCCCCACCCCACCCCCACCCCACCTCCGCCCCACTCCACCTCTACCCACCACACCCCCACCCCACCCCCACCCCACTCCACCCCACCCCGCCCCACCCAACCCCCACCCCAACCCAACCCCCACCCCACCCCCGCCCCACCCCCACCCCACCCCCGCCCCACCCCCACCCCCACCCCACATCTGACCCCCCCCCCCCCCAGGCACCTGGACATCTCCCGTGACAAGGCGGTGGGCCAGCAGTGCGTGCCGCTGACGCGCGGGGCCCTGTGCGGCCTGGCACAGGGCCTGCCTCACCTGGAGGCCCTCGACCTCTCCGGCAACACCTTCGGCGACGGCTGCACCGTCGGTCCCGACGAGGAGGCGCCCTGCGCCGGCAGGCACGTCGTCACGGCAACGGCGGCGGCGGCGGCGGCGGCACCGCCGTCGTCGTCACGGTCACGGTCGCCATGGTGATCGTCGCCATGGTCATCGTCGTCGCGGTCGTCGTGGTCGTCGCCGTGGTTATCGTCGTCATCGTCGCCATGGTGATCGTCGCCATGGTCATCGTCGTCGCGGTCGTCGTGGTCGTCGTCGTGGTTATCGTCGTCGTCGTCGCCATGGTGATCGTCGCCATGGTGATCGTCGCCATGGTCATCGTCGTCGTGGTCGTCGTCGTGGTTATCGTCGTCATCATCGCCATGGTGATCGTCGCCATGGTGATCGTCGCCATGGTCATCGTCGCCATGGTCATCGTCGTCGTGGTCGTCGTGGTCGTCGTCATGGTGATCGTCGGCATGGTGATCGTCGCCATGGTCATCGTCGTCGTCATCGCGGTTATCGTCATGGTCGTCGTCGTCATGGTTATCGTCGTCATCATCGTCATGGTGATCGTCGTCATGGTGATCGTCATCATGGTCAACATCGTCATTGTCGTCGTCGTCATGGTTATTGTGAGCATCACCGCCATCATCATGGTCACCATCATCATCAACATCGTCATGGTGATCGTCGTCATGGTGATCGTCGTCATGCTTATCGTCGTCATGGGGTATCGTCAGCGTCATGGGGTATCGTCACCGTCATCATCATGGTCATCGTCAACATCGTCATGGTGATCGTCGTCATGGTCATCGTCGTCATTGGGTGTATCGTCAGCGTCATGGTTATCGTCACCATCATCATCATGGTCATCGTCAACATCGTCATGGTGATCGTCGTCATGGTCATCGTCGTCATGGTCATCGTCGTCATGGGGTATCGTCACCGCCATCATCATGGTCATCGTCAACATCGATCATGGTGATCGTCGTCATGGTGATCGTCGTCATGGTCATCGTCGTCATGGGGTATCGTCACTGCCATCATCATGGTCATCGCCAACATCGTCATGGTGATCGTCGTCATGGTGATCATCGTCATGGTGATCGTCGTTATGGTGATCGTCGTCATGGTCATCGTCGTCATGGTCATCGTCGTCATGGGGTATCGTCACCGTCATCATCACGGTCATCGTCAACATCGTCATGGTGATCGTCGTCATGGTGATCGTCGTCATGGGGTATCGTCACCGTCATCATCATGGTCATCGCCAACATCGTCATGGTGATCGTCGTCATGGTGATCATCGTCATGGTGATCGTCGTTATGGTGATCGTCGTCATGGTCATCGTCGTCATGGTCATCGTCGTCATGGGGTATCGTCACCGTCATCATCACGGTCATCGTCAACATCGTCATGGTGATCGTCGTCACGGTCATCATCATCATCATCGTCATCACCGACACTGTCAACATCATCTTCACAATCGTCGTCACTAGCATTCCCATCGTCGTCATCATCATCATCAGCAGCAGCAGCAGCTGTGATCAACGTCATCGCCCATCACCGACACCGTCATCGTCGTCGGCTCCCCTAGGTCGACTCAGCCGTAAACTCAGCTCGCAAACGTCGCCTCTGGTGAGACAAAGGCGGCCGGGCATTGGTAGCGACGGCACACGGTGCCGCTACGGCCTTCACAGACCGCTGCTGGTGCTGCTGCTGCTGAGGGCACTTGCCCCGGCAGTCTTGTTCCGAGGCTACGCGGGGCTCCTTTGTCATTTGTAGTTATTGATTTAAAGCTTTCGTGACTGCAGGGATTCATATTCTTGGTTCTTTCGGTAAAGTCACCACCACCACGTAGTAGAAGGGAAACAATAAAATAGTAAAAATATAAAACAATAAAATTCTCACGACCGTTTCGACTGCAACACAAAGCAGCAATCATCATCAGGTGTGAAAACCACGGCAAGAACATTTTCTTGTTGTGGTTTAAAGCTTTCGTTACGGTAGGGAGTCAGAGTCTTGGTTCTTTCGGTAAAGTCACCACCACGTAGTACAATGGAAATAATTAAATAATAAAAATCAAACAATTCAATTCTCACGACGTGTTTTTTTTCACGGCTGATGATGATTGCTTGTGTTGCAATCGAAACGTGAGAATTTTATTGTTTTATATTTATATTCATTTTTTATTTCCCTTCTACGTGACTGCCGAAAGAACCAAGAATATTTTGATTTAAAGCTTTCGTGACTGCAGGGATTCATATTCTTGGTTCTATCGGTAAAGTCACCACCACGTAGAAGGGAAACAACAAAATAATAAAAATATAAAACGGCAAGAACATTTGGTTCTTTCGGTAAAGTCACCACCACGTAGAAGGGAAACAATAAAATAATAAAAATATAAAACAATAAAATTCTCACGACCGTTTCGACCGTAACACAGAGCAGCAATCATCATCAGGTGTGAAAACCACAGCAAGAAAACGTTTTCTTGTTGTGGTTTTCACACCTGATGATGATTGCTGCTCTGTGTTGCAGTCGAAACGGTCGTGAGAATTTTATTGTTTTATATTTTTATTATTTTGTTTTATATTTTTATTATTTTATTGTTTCCCTTCTACGTGGTGGTGACTTTTACCGAAAGAACCAAGAATATTGATCCCTGCAGTCACGAAAGCTTTAAATCAAAATATTCTTGGTTCTTTCGGCAGTCACGTAGAAGGGAAATAAAAAATGAATATAGATATAAAACAATAAAATTCTCACGTTTCGATTGCAACACAAGCAATCATCATCATCAGCCGTGAAAAACACCACGTCGTGAGAATTTAATTGTTTTATATTTGTATTATTTCATTATTTCCCTTCTACTACGTGGTGGTGACTTTACCGAAAGAACCAAGACTCTGACTCCCTACCGTAACGAAAGCTTTAAACCACAACAAGAAAATGTTGTTGTTGTGGTTTTTTCACACCTGATGATGATTGCTGCTCTGTGTTACAGTCGAAACGTCGTGACAATTTTATGGTGACTTTACCGAAAGAACCAAATATTCTTGCCGTTGTTTTATATTTTTATTATTTTATTGTTTCCCTTCTACGTGACTTTACCGAAAGAAACAAATGTTCTTGCCGTTTTATATTTTTATTATTTTATTGTTTCCCTTCTTCTACGTGGTGGTGACTTTACCGAACGAAACCAAATATCCTTGCCGTTGTTTTATATATTTGTATTATTTCATTGCTTCCCTTCTACGTGGTGGTGCTGGTGGTGGTGGTGACTTTACCGAAAGAACCAAGAATATGAACACACCTTTGTCCGTTGTTCGCGCGTCTCCGCCCGACCCTTCTCTGCCGGCGCAGCACGCAACCTTCGGATAGCAGCATCGCTCCGTTCCGTCGCCGCTCTCAGCCGTTCCAGTTCCTGGGTTTGTTCGGCACGACGCTGTGCACCGTGAAGAACATCCCGGCGCACGTGGTGCGTACGCGTGTGCGTGTGTGCGTGTCTGCGTGTACGTACGCACGCACACAGACACACAGACACGCACGTACGCGCAGACACGCACGTACGCGCAGACACGCAAGTACACACAGACACGCAAGTACACACAGATACGCACGTACACACAGACACACACAGACCCGCACATACACACAGATACGCACGTATACACAGACACACACAGACCCGCACGTACACACAGACACGCACGTACACCAAGATACGCATGTACACACAGACACACACAGATACGCACGTATACACAGACACACACAGACCCGCACGTACACACAGACACGCACGTACACACAGACACGCAAGTACACACAGACACGCAAGTACACACAGACACGCACGTACACACAGACACGCACATACACACAGACACGCACGTACACACAGACACGCACATACACACAGACACGCACGTACACACAGACACGCACATACACACGCTGTGCACCGTGAAGAACATCCCGGCGCACGTGGTGCGTACGCGTGTGCGTGTCTGCGTGTCTGCGTGTACGTACACACACACACACAGACACGCACGTACGCGCAGACACGCACGTACGCGCAGACACGCAAGTACACACAGACACGCAAGTACACACAGACACGCAAGTACACAGACACGCAAGTACACACAGACCCGCACGTACACACAGATACGCACGTACACACAGATACGCACGTACACACAGACACGCACGTACACACAGACCCGCACATACACACAGACACGTACACACAGACACGCACGTACACGCAGACAACAACCGCCATTCGCCACTAAGCAGACCCGCACGTACACACAGACACGCACGTACACACAGATACGTACACACAGACACGCACGTACACACAGACACGCACGTACACACAGACACGCACGTACACACAGACACGCACGTACACACAGACACGTACACACAGACGTATGTGCGTGTGTACGTGCGTGTTTGCGTGTATGTGCATGTCTGCGTGTACGTGCATTGCCTGTGTGTACGTGCGTGTCTTTGCGTGTCTGTGTGTGTCTGTGTGTGTCTGTGTGTGTGTCTGTGTGTGTCTGTGTGTGTGTGTGTCTGTGTGTGTCTGTGTGTGTGTGTGTCTGTGTGTGTGTCTGTGTGTGTGTCTCTGTGTGTGTCTGTGTGTGTCTGCGCTGCGTCCCGCCGCCCAGGTGACGGGCGAGGAGAGTGAGGCCCACGTGCTCAACGCCATCGAGGCCTACACCGACCTCAGGCCTGAGGTAGCCTCCACCGCCATCAACTGCCTCTTCGTGCTGGCACGGATCTCCCGCTGCCAGCAGCCCCTACGGGCCCTGCAGGTGGCACCCGCTCGCTCACTCGCTCACTCACACACTCACCCACTCACTCACCCACTCGCTCACTCACTCACTCACTCACTCGCTCGCTCACTCACCCGCTCACCCGCTAGCTCACTCACTCGCTCACTCACACGCTCACTCACTCACTCACTCGCTCACTCGCTCACCCGCTAGCTCACTCGCTCGCTCACTCACACGCTCACTCACTCACTCACCCGCTCACCCGCTAACTCACTCACTCACTCACTCGCTCGCTCACACGCTCACCCACTAGCTCACTCATTCACTCACTCGCTCGCCCGCTCACTCGCTCGCTCGCTCGCTCACTCGCTCACTCACTCGCACGCTCACTCACTCACTCATTCACTCGCTCACCCGCTAACTCGCTCGCTCACACGCTCACTCACTCGCTCACTCACTCACTCGCTCACCCGCTCACCCGCTAACTCGCTCACTCACTCATTCGCTCACTCACTCACTCGCTCACACGCTAACTCACTCACTCGCTCACCCACTCACTCGCTCACTCACTTGCTCGCTCACTCGCTAACTCACTCATTCACTCACTCACTCGCTCACACGCTCACCTGCTAACTCACTCGCTCGCTCGCTCACCCGCTAACTCACTCACTCACACACTCGCTCGCTCACACGCTCACCCGCTCACTCGCCCGCTCACTCACTCACTCGCTCACCCGCTCACTCGCCCGCTCACTCACTCGCTCGCTCACACGCTCACCCGCTAACTCACTCACTCACACACTCGCTCGCTCACACGCTCACCCACTAACTCGCTCGCTCGCTCACTCACTCACCCGCTCACTCGCCCGCTCACTCGCCCGCTCCCTTGCTCACTCACTCGCCCGCCCGCCCGCTCGCCTGCCCGCTCGCTCGCTCGCTCGCTCGCCCGCTCGTTCGCTCGCCCGCCCGCTTACTCGCTCGCCCTCCCGCTTACTCACTCGCTCACTCACTCGCTCGCTCACCCGCTCACTCACCCTCCCACCCACCCTGCCACCCACCCTGCCACCCACCCTGCCACCCACTCATCCACCCACCCTGCCACCCACCCTGCCACCCACTCACCCACCCGCCCTGCCACCCACCCTGCCACCCACTCATCCACCCACCCTGCCACCCACCCTGCCACCCACCCTGCCACCCACTCACCCACCCGCCCTCCCACCCACCCTGCCACCCACCCACCCTGCCACCCACCCCCTAGCTGGTGGTGTGCGCCCTCCGTCGCCACCGCTACAACCGCCACGTGCAGGTGACGGGGAGTGCTGCTCTCTTCTACCTGACGGGCAGTGAGTATCGCGCCGAGCACTCGGAGGCCCTTCGGCGGCAAGTCCTCTCTGTGGTGCTCAACGGCATGGAGGCCTACCAGGAGGTTACCGTGAGTATTACTGTGTGTGTGGTGTGTGTGTGGTGTGTGTGTGTGTGGTGTGTAGTGTGGTGTGTGTGTGTGTGGTGTGTGTGTGGTGTGTGTGTGTGTGGTGTGTGTGTGGTGTGTGTGTGGTGTGTTGTGGTGTGTGTGTGCTGTGTGTGTGTGGTGTGTGTGTGTTGTGTGTGGTGTGGTGTGTGGTGTGTGTGGTGTGTGTGTGTGTGGTGTGTGTGTGTGTGTTGTGTTGTGTGTGGTGTGTGTGTGTGTGGTGTGTGTGGTGTGTGTGTGTACGTGTGTACGTGGTGTGTGTGTGGTGTGTGTGTGTGGTGTGTGTGGTGTGTGTGTGTGTGTGTGTGGTGTGTAGTGTGGTGTGTGTGTGGTGTGTGTGTGCTGTGTGGTGTGTGTGGTGTGTGTGGTGTGTAGTGTGTGTGGTGTGTGTGGTGTGTGTAGTGGTGTGTGTGTGGTGTGTGTGGTGTGTGTGGTGTGTGTGTTGTGTGTGTGTGGTGTGTGTGGTGTGTGTGCGGTGTGTGGTGTGTGGTGTGTGTCACTGTGTGTATGTGTGGTGTGTGTGTGTGGTGTGTGCGTGTGCGTGGTGCGTGTGTGTGTGTGTGTGCGTGCGGTGTGCGTGCGGTGTGTGTGTGTGTTGTGTGTGTGTGCATGCGTGCGGTGTGTGTGTGTGCGTGGTGCGTGCGCGTGGGTTATCACCATCGCCACTGTGACCACCACCACCACCACCACCTCCACCACCTCCCCGCGTGCAGGTGCAGCGCAACTGCTGCCTCACGCTGTGTAACTTTGGCGTGCCCGAGGAGCTGGAGTTTGCGTACGGGCGTGCCACGCGCCTGCTGCTCGCCATCTTGCAGCAGCCCACGCAGGACTCGGTGCAGCGGATCGCCGTGCACCTCTGCAACGCGCTCGTGTGCCAGGTGGACCACGCGCACAAGGAGGCCGTCGGGCGCATGGGGTTCGTGCGGGTGAGTGAGGGGGTTGCCGGAGGAGCCGCCGCCGTCAATATCGTCATCGCCATCGTCGTCATCATCATCGTCGTCATCATCATCATCACCATCGTCGTCACCATTGTCACCACCGTCACCATCATCGTCACCATCGTCACGTCGTCATCATCACCATCGTCATCACCGTCATCACCACCATCATCGTCAGCATCATCGTCATCACCATCGTCACGTCGTCATCCCCATCATCACCATTGTCACCATCATCACCGTCATTGTCACCATCGTCATCACCATCGTCATCACCATCGTCATCACCATCGTCATCACCATCACCATCGTCATCACCATCGTCATCACCATCGTCGTCACCATCGTCACCATCGTCACCATTGTCATCATCGTCATCACCATCACCATCGTCATCACCATCACCATCGTCATCACCATCGTCATCATCATTGTCACCATCGTCATCACCATCATCATCACCATCGTCATCACCATCACCATCGTCATCACCATCGTCGTCACCATCGTCGTCACCATCGTCACCATTGTCATCATCGTCATCACCATCGTCACCATCGTCATCACCATCGTCATCACCATCACCATCGTCATCACCATCACCATCGTCATCACCATCGTCATCATCATTGTCACCATCGTCATCACCATCATCATCACCATCGTCATCACCATCACCATCGTCATCACCATCGTCGTCACCATCGTCACCATCGTCACCATTGTCATCATCGTCATCACCATCGTCACCATCGTCATCACCATCGTCATCACCATCACCATCGTCATCACCATCACCATCGTCATCACCATCGTCATCATCATTGTCACCATCGTCATCACCATCATCATCACCATCATCATCACCATCATCATCATCACCATCGTCATCACCATCGTCATAACCATTGTCACCATTGTCACCGTCATCGTCACCATCATCACCATCGTCGTCACCATCATCATCACCATCGTCACCATCGTCGTCATTATCATCACCGTCGTCATCACCGTCGTCATCGTCGTCATTATCATCACCGTCATCACCAACACCAGTGACGATTATCTGAACCGGTCCTCGCCCACCCCTAGGTCGACTCAGCCTCAAATGAGTCACCCGGTGCTGTGTGTGTGTAGTAAAACATCGTTGCTGGGGGAGACAAAGGCGGCCGGGCGTGGTGCTGGCCACCCACCCCCTCTGTGTGTGCTCACAGTGCCGGTAGCCTTCACAGGCGCTGCTGCTACTCGCTAACAACACTTGCCCCTACAGACTGTTAGAGGCTACACGGGGGACCTTTGTCTGTGTGTGTGTGTGTGTTTACGATTCATACAGACGATGATGAAGATCATCAGGTATCGACTGCTGAGGAAGACGGTGAGGAACCACCCGCCGCTCACCACTCCACCTCACCACTCCGCTCGAACGCTCACCACTCACCCAAACACTCACCACTCTGCTGTACCGCTCACCACTCACCCGACCACTCACCCGACCGCTCACCACTCACCCAAACACTCACCACTCTGCTGTACCGCTCACCACTCACCCGACCACTCACCCGACCGCTCACCACTCACCCAAACACTCACCACTCTGCTGTACCGCTCACCACTCACCCGACCACTCACCCGACCACTCACCACTCACCCAAACACTCACCACTCTGCTGTACCGCTCACCACTCACCCGACCACTCACCCGACCGCTCACCCAAACACTCACCACTCTGCTCTACTGCTCACCACTCACCCAACCACTCACCCAACCGCTCACCACTCACCCAAACACTCACCACTCTGCTCTACCACTCACCACTCACCCAAACACTCACCCGACCGCTCGCCACTCCGCTCGAACGTTCACCACTCGCCCAAACACTCACCCGACCGCTCACCACTCCACCTCACCACTCCGCTCGAACGCTCACCACTCACCCAAACACTCACCCGACCGCTCACCACTCACCCAAACACTCACCACTCTGCTCTACTGCTCACCACTCACCCAACCACTCACCCTACCGCTCACCACTCACCCAAACACTCACCCGACCGCTCACCACTTACCCAAACACTCACCCAAACACTCACCACTCTGCTCTACCGCTCACCACTTACCGGACCGCTCAGCACTCTGCTCTACCGCTCACCACTCACCCAAACACTCACCACTCACCCAAACACTCACCCGACCACTCACCACTCCGCTCGACCGCTCACCACTCCAGAGAGCTGTGTCTCACACAGAGACCCATAGACTCACACAGAGACCCATAGACTCACATAGAGACCCATAGACTCATCACACAGAGACCCATAGACTCACATAGAGACCCACAGACTCACACAGAGACCCACAGACTCACACACAGACTCACACACAGAGACCCACAGACTCACACACAGAGACCCACAGACTCACCACACAGAGACCCACAGACTCACCACACAGAGACCCGTAGACTCATCACACAGAGACCCATAGACTCACACAGAGACCCACAGACTCACACACAGAGACCCACAGACTCACACACAGAGACCCACAGACTCACCACACAGAGACCCACAGACTCACCACACAGAGACCCACAGACTCATCACACAGAGACCCACAGACTCACACACAGAGACCCACAGACTCACCACACAGAGACCCACAGACTCACCACACAGAGACCCACAGACTCACCACACAGAGACCCACTGACTCGCACACAGAGACCCACAGACTCACCACACAGAGACCCACAGACTCACCACACAGAGACCCACAGACTCACCACACAGAGACCCACAGACTCACCACACAGAGACCAATAGACTTATCACACAGAGACCCACAGACGCACACACAGAGACCCACAGACTCACACAGAGACCCACAGACTCACACACAGACCCACAGACTCACACACAGAGACCCACAGACTCACCACACAGAGGCCCATAGACTCACCACACAGAGACCCACAGACTCACACACAGAGACCCACAGACTCATCACACAGAGACCCACAGACTCACACAGAGACCCACAGACTCACACAGACTCACACACAGAGACCCACAGGCTCACACAGACTCACACACAGACTCACACAGACTCACACACACACCGCGAGTGAGCCCCACAGACTCACACAGACTCACACCCAGCGAGTGAGACCCTCTGTGCGTCTGCAGTGCGACCAGGTGATGGAGTTCTCATGGAGCGCTCTGTGGAACATCACGGACGAGACTCCGGACAACTGCAAAATCTTCCTGATGCTCAACGGGATGCCCCTCTTCCTCGAATGCCTCCACGTGAGTTCATCACACTGCCACGGAGATGTTGACGACCTCGCCTGGTACGCAGGAGGTCGTGGGTTCGATCCCGACGCTGACAACGCTTGCTGCTGTATATTTGGAGTTTGTGTGTCTCTCATCATCATCATCACGGTGGCTAGGAGCTGTTGACTACTTCGACTGGTACGCAGGAAGTCGTGGGTTTCATGCCGACCCTGACAATGCCTGCTGTATATTTGGAGTCTGCGTCTCTCTCTCTCTCTCTCATCATCATCATCACGGTGGCTATGAGATGTTGACGACCTCGCCTGATACGCAGGAGGTCGTGGGTTCGATCCCTTCCCTGACATCTGCTGTATATTTGGAGTCTGCGTCTCTCTCTCATCATTATCATCATCATGGTGGCTCGGAGATGTTGACTACCTCGCCTGGTACGCAGGAGGTCGTGGGTTCGATCCCTACCCTGACATCTGCTATATATTTGGAGTATGCGTCTCTCTCTCTCTCTCTCATCGTTATCATCATCACGTTGGCTATGAGATGTTAACTACCTCGCCTGGTCTACAGGAGGTCGTGGGTTCCATCCCGACGCTGACAACGCCTGCTGCTGCTGCTGTATATTTGGAGTTTTTGCGTCTCTCTCTCTCTCTCTCTCCCCTCGTGGATTTTTTTGCCCGGGTCCTCCCGTTTCCCCCCCACCACATTGAGAATCGCCGTCACCACGCGTTTAGAGTGTTCACCTACCGATATAAGTGTGCCCGCGACGATGATGGCGATGATGGCGATGAACCACTTGGTTTTGCGTTTCGCCTGGTGGCTTCTTGAAGTGCCCTTCGCAGAAACTCACTGGGGCTTACCTAGTAACAATAATATACATTTTGATTTAAAGCTTTCGTGACTGCAGTGATTCATATTCTTGGTTCTTTCGGTAAAGTCACGTTAAAGGGAAACAAAATATTAAAATAATAAAATATATTGTTTTATATATTATTATTTGATTGTTTCCCTTCAACGTGACTTTACCGAAAGAACCAAGAATAACAATAATGCAGTTTAGTATGGGTCTCTATGAGTATGGGTCTCTGTGGGTCTTACCTAGTAACAATAATATAGTTTAGTATGGGTCTCTATGAGTATGGGTCTCTGTGGGTCTTACCTAGTAACAATAATATAGATTAGTATGGGTCTCTATGAGTATGGGTCTCTGTGGGTCTTACCTAGTAACAACAATATAGTTTAGTATGGGTCTCTATGAGTATGGGTCTCTGTGGGTCTTACCTAGTAACAACAATATAGTTTAGTATGGGTCTCTATGAGTATGGGTCTCTGTGGGTCTTACCTAGTAACAACAATATAGTTTAGTATTTGATCTCTATGAGTATGGGTCTCTATGAGTATGGGTCTCTATGAGTATGGGTATCTGTGTGTCTATGGGTCTCTATGAGTATGGGTCTCTGTGGGTCTATGGGTTTCTATGAGTATGGGTCTCTATGAGTATGGGTCTCTGTGTGTCTATGGGTCTCTATGAGTATGGGTCTCTATGAGTATGGGTCTCTGTGTGTCTATGGGTCTCTATGAGTATGGGTCTCTGTGGGTCTATGGGTTTCTATGAGTATGGGTCTCTATGAGTATGGGTCTCTGTGTGTCTATGGGTCTCTATGAGTATGGGTCTCTGTGGGTCTATGGGTCTCTATGAGCATGTCGTAACTCCCGGTCAAAGTGCGCCATCTAACGGGGGAAATGGGGCGGGGGCATTACAGGAGAAGGGGAAAATTAAATTTAATTTAATAATAATAATAATATTTGGTCAAGTTCGGCGGGCCGGATTTAAAAGCCCAACGGGGCCGGGCTTTGCCCGTGCCTGCCTCTGACCCCGTGATTGCTTGCTTGCTCAGTTTTGAGGCCATCATCTCGGTTGAAGGTACAGTCTGTGTTCGTACACCCGGGATGGCTTCATGGACAAATCACCGGTGGTGTCCAGGAGCCTTGCAGAACCACCTCGGTGTCGGGGAATACGCAATCCCGTGAGAGCCAGCCACGGCGTTACAACGGAGTGCCGGCCACGGCACCGAAGAATCCGCCCTGGTCCAGCCTGTGCTCGCGGATGCGATCACAAACGCGTCCTTTCGTTTCCCCCGATGTAGCAGTCGCCGCACGTGCGACTCGGTTCGTAGACACCGGGGGGGGGTACTGCAAGTCGGGAATGACATCCTTTTCCGGATGGGATCAGGTCACGGATCTTGTCCCACCGTACTGAATCGGAGCGGGATCTTGTGTTTGTTCAGAATTTTTGGAAGTATTTTTTTGCTGACGCCTGCTATGTATGGCGACGTAATGAGTCTCGGTGGGCTTGTTTCTCCACGTTGGGAGGAACGGCTTGGCGGATGGCACGGTCTAAGTCAAGAAAGCTTTCAAATCTGGGCCTATGGGTCTCTGTGTGTCTATGGGTCTCTGTGAGTCGGAGTCTCTGTGTGAGTCTGTGGGTCTATGCGTGAGTCTAGAATCAACATCGCCACGCGTTCATAATATATATACTCGTACGGACTCACTCGGACTCTTCGCACGGACTCGCACGGGCTCGCACGGGCTCGGTCGGACTCGCACGGACTCGCACGGACTCACATGGACTCGCACGGACTCGCACGGACTTGGTCGGACTCACACGGACTCACGGAAACTTGACGGACTTGCACAGACTCGCACGGACTCGCACGGACTCACACGGACTCACTTGTACCCACACGGACACACACGGACACACTCGGACTCACTCGGACTCACTCGGACTCACACGGACTCACTCGGGCTCACACAGACTCACGGAATCTTGACGGACTTGCACAGACTCGCACGGACTCGCACGGACTCACACGGACTCACTCGTACCCACACGGGCACACACGGACTCACTCGGACTCACACGGACTCACACGGACTCACGGAATCTTGACAGACTCGCACGGACTCACACGGACTCACACGGACACACACGGACACACACGGACTCGGTTGGACTCACAAGGACTCACACAGGCACACACGGACTCACACGGACTCACACAGACTCACAAGGACACAGACTCACACGGACTCACACGGACTCACACAGACTCACAAGGACACAGACTCACACGGACTCGCACGGCCTCGCTCGGCCTGGTGAGTCGGAGCGATCCCCGCTGCTGCCGCCCCCCACAGGAGTTCCCCAGGAAGCAGGAGCTGCATCGCAACATGCTGGGCCTTCTGGGTAACGTGGCCGAGGTGAAGTCCCTGCGTCCCTTCCTCATGACCACGCAGTTCGTCACCGTCTTCAGGTGAACCCCTCGCCCGTGCGCGGGCACGTCAACACACGTGAACACACCAGCACGTGAACACACGTCAACACACCAGCACGTCAACACACCAGCACGTCAACACACCAGCACGTGAACACACCAGCACGTCAACACACCAGCACGTCAACACACGTCAACACACACACGTGAACACACCAGCACGTCAACACACCAGCACGTGAACACACCAGCACGTGAACACACCAGCACGTCAACACACCAGCACGTCAACACCAGCACGTGAACACACCAGCACGTCAACACATGAACACACCAGCACGTGAACACACCAGCACGTCAACACACCAGCACGTCAACACACCAGCACGTCAACACCAGCACGTGAACACACCAGCACGTCAACACATGAACACACCAGCACGTCAACACACCAGCACGTCAACACACGTGAACACACCAGCACGTCAACACACCAGCACGTGAACACACCAGCACGTGAACACACCAGCACGTCAACACACCAGCACGTCAACACACCAGCACGTCAACACACCAGCACGTGAACACACCAGCACGTGAACACACGTCAACACACCAGCACGTGAACACACCAGCACGTCAACACACCAGCACATCAACACACCAGCACGTGAACACATGTGAACACACCAGCACGTCAACACACCAGCACATCAACGCACGTGAACACACCAGCACGTCAACACACCAGCACGTGAACACACCAGCACGTGAACACACCAGCACATCAACGCTCGTGAACACACCAGCACGTCAACACACCAGCACGTGAACACACCAGCACGTGAACACACCAGCACATCAACGCACGTGAACACACCAGCACGTGAACACACCAGCACGTCAACACACCAGCACGTCAACGCACCAGCACGTCAACGCACCAGCACGTCAACACACCAGCACGTGAACACACCAGCACGTCAACACACCAGCACGTCAACACACCAGCACGTCAACACACCAGCACGTCAACACACCAGCACGTCAACACACCAGCACGTGAACACACCAGCACGTGAACACACCAGCACGTCAACACACCAGCACGTGAACACACCAGCACGTCAACGCACCAGCACGTCAACACAGCAGCACGTCAACACACCAGCACGTGAACACACGTGAACACCCCAGCACGTCAACACACGTGAACACACCAGCACGTGAACACACGTCAACACACGCACGTGAACACGCGTGAACACACGTGAACACACCAGCACGTCAACACACGTGAACACACCAGCACGTGAACACACACGTGAACACACCAGCACGTCAACACACGTGAACACACACACACACACACGTGAACACACCAGCACGTGAACACACGTGAACACACACACGTCAACACACGCACGTCAACACACGTGAGCACACCAGCACGTCAACGCACGCACTTGAACACGAAACAAAGACAAAGATCCCCCGTATAGCCTTAACAGACTGTAGGGGCAAGTGCTGTTAGCGAGCACCTATGAAGGCCGGAACGGTACACGAGGGGTGGGTTGCCAGCACCACGCCCGACCGCCTTTGTCTCCCCAGTGGCAATGTTTATACACACAGCACCAGGTACTAATTTCAGGCTGAGTCGACCTAGGGGAGGCCCAGGACCGGTTCAGATAATCGTCACTGGTGTTGGCCGTGAGCGGGAATCGAACCCGGGTCGCCAGGTTCACAGCGCAGCGTAGCGCTAACCGCTACACCACCGCTCCCCATAGATACACGCACACACAGTGACACACACGTGGATACATACAGTGACACACGCACACATGGACACACACACACACATGGACACACATGGACACACAAACACGAACACACACACACGGCACACAAACGGACACACACACACGGACACACACACAGTGATACACACATGGATACACACAGTGACACACACACACATGGACACACACACACACATGGACACACACACATGGACAACAACAACAACAACCGCCATTCGCCACTAAGTGGCGGTGACGTCACCACGACGCTTGTGCCAGGCCATGTGCACCTTGATTGAGGCCACGTGAAGTGTCGAACGCCCGCTGGCAGGTCACGGGGCAGACCCAGGTGCCACGGGTCGACTGACTGAGATGACTGGCTGATGCACCACCTGTGCCCCCTACTGTGCCAACCTGCTGTGCTTTAGCCACCCGGCGCTCCGCTCGTTGTTGTGAGCGTCGCTCCTCCGCCCTCCGTTGTCGTTTGGAGGGCGACTGCCTCGAACTGCCCAGTAGCGTCCTTCACGAGCCTCCTCCACAGAGGCCGATCTTGACACCGCTGGTACCAGTCATCGGCAAGTCCACTCAGCTCCATGTCCTCCTGTACCACATCACTCCATCTCTTCTCTAGCCCGTGCCGCTCCCGTTTAGCCCCCTCGATCCGGCCGAACAAAAGCTGTTTCGGCATGCGGTGGCTGGGCATGCGGGCTACATGACCCAGCCAACGCAGCCTTGCCTGCCGGAGGAGCTCACCGATGGGACCCTGCCCAGATCTCTCAAGGATTTGTGAGCTCCTCACACAATCCAGCCTGGCTAAACCCAGGATGGATCGTAGGCAGGCCAGCCTAAATGTTTCTAACCGGCGAAGATGTTCCATTAGGGGGGTCCACGTTTCGGAAGCGTAGAGAAGGGAGGGAATGACCATGGCCGAGAAGACCTGAAGCTTAGTGCGGAGCGACAGACCAGGTAGCTTCCACACAGCGTTACGCAACCAATGAAAAGATATTGCCGCTCGACTGATTCGGAGTGAGACCTCTGCTGTTAAACTGGAGCCGGTCATAAGCACACTGCCCAGGTATGGGAAACTCTCCACTCTCTCCACAACTGCCCCATCACCGATTGGGAGTTGTGGGGGTGGAGTGTCCGATGTTAAAAAATATCTAGGCAGGTGCTTAGTTTTGGTGGGGCTGATGGTAAGGCCCCATCTCTTAGTGGCACGCTCCAGTCTCAGCAGCAGCGTCTCCAACTCCTCCTCTGAATGAGCAGCTATTACCAAATCATCGGCATACATAACGTGATTGAGCAATAGGGAGCCATCCCTTGACCACACTCGGGCATCGATCAGCCTCCCATTACATCTGTACCATATGGAGATTCCCCCGGTACAGCTATTGAAGGCTTCACAAATTACGTGGTCAAAATAGATGTTAAATAATGTGGGAGCCAGAGGACATCCCTGTCGCACCCCAAGGTGTACAGGGAATGGCTTTGACTCCCGGCCACGTAGTTTTACCCAGGCCCGCTCACCATCATGAAGGTCCTTAATGATCGTGAGCAGAGGGTCAGGTACTCCAAAAGCACGAAGAACAACCCAGAGCCCAGGCCTACTGATGGTATCATAGGCCTTGACCAGGTCAATAAAGCAGAGATGTAGGTCTTGCTGGAATTCTCTCTACACCTCTGCTGTAGCAGACGGACATAAAATATGGCATCTGTGCAGGACCGCCCTTTCCTGAAACCGAATTTGGGCTCCGCAAGCCTCTCCTCAGCGTGCCTGGCAAGGCGATGTTGAATAATCCTTGCCAGGACCTTTCCCGGCACACTGAGGAGTGAGATGCCCCTGTAGTTGTTACAGTCTGTGCGGTCCCCCTTCTTAAAGAGGGGGACCACCAGGGCATCCTTACAATCCTGCGGAACCTGTCCAGTGGTCCAGACTGTTGTTATGATGTCATGTAGGGCAGTCTGTGCACATACGCCACCCTCCCTCAGCATTTCGTCTGGGAGATCATCTCTGCCCGCTGCCTTTCCTGGTCACAGACTCCGGATCGCCTTCAGTACTTCCTCAACAGATGGCACTTCAGCCAGCCACTCACAGGGGGTGACTTCTTACAATATTTGAGGCACTGCAGCCTCAGCAGGGTCATCCTCACTTTGTGCCACGATGTTTTCCTGGCTGAGGGATTTTCCCTCCCCCAGGACCTCACAGAAATGCTCAGCAAATCTGCAAACCTGTTCCTGGGGGTCGGAGATTGGCTCACCGTTTTTTCCCTTAATGATGGTAATAGGTGTGGTGCTGCAGGTTACTTTTCTGATGGAGTTAAATAAAGATTTGTGATCGCGGGCCTCTGAGGCAGACTCCATCTCCTCAGCAACCCGCGACCACCACCCATCCTTGCAGCGCCTCACGGCTCTCCGAACCTCCGAGCGAAGGCTGCGGTAAGCCTCCTCATTCTCTGACGTGGGATTCTGTAGCCGATGACAGTGGGCCTGTCGCTTTTTCTCAACCATCCTGAACACCTCTGTCAGCCAGGGTCTCTGGAGAGGTCTGGACCGCGTACCCAAAGCAGCCATTGCAGCTGCATGAGTCACAGTCCTAAAACTCGCCCATTTACCCTCGACATCAGGAGGCGTGGGGGACGATGCCAACCCCAGCCGCAAGCGATGATGAAATTCTCGCTTGCAACTTTCATCAGATAACTGAGACCAGGCCACTTTAGGTTGGAATGGGGTCCTGGGTGTACACCCACCACCGGAGCGGAAGAATGGCAGGCGCATCTTACAGATGACTAGTCGATGGTCAGAGGGCAGATCAGCTCCACGGTAGGTCCTGGTGTCAAGGACATGGGCTCGCATCCGCTGGTCCGTCACTATGTAGTCCAGCAGATGTTTTTGCTGCCCCTTAACAGACTGTAGGGGCAAGTGCTGTTAGCGAGCACCTATGAAGGCCGGAATGGTACACGAGGGGGTGGGTGGCCAGCACCACGCCCGACCGCCTTTGTCTCCCTAGTGGCAATGTTTACACACCGCACCAGGTACTCATTTGAGGCTGAGTCGACCTAGGGGAGGCCCGGGACCGGTTTAGATAATCGTCACTGGTGTTGGCCGTGAGCGGGAATCGAACCCGGGTCACCGGGTTCATAGCGCAGCGTAGCGCTAACCGCTACACTACCGCTCCCCATGGACACACACACACAAGGACACACACACATACACACGGACACACACACACACGGACACACACACACACACATGGACACACAAACACGAACACACACACACGGCACACACACGGACACACACACAGTGACACACACATGGATACACACAGTGACACAACAACCGCCATTCGCCACTAAGTGGCGGCGACGTCACCACGACGCTTGTGCCAGGCCATGTGCACCTTGAGGCCACGTGAAGTGTCGAACGCCCGCTGGCAGGAGGTCACGGGGCAGACCCAGCAGGTGCCACGGGTCGACTGACTGAGATGACTGGCTGATGCACCACCTGTGCCCCCCTACTGTGCCAACTTGCTGTGCTTTAGCCACCCGGCGCTCCGCTCGTTGCTGTGAGCGTCGCTCCTCCGCCCTCCGTTGTTGTTGGAGGGCGACTGCCTCCAACTGCCCAGTAGCTGTCACGCGCACAGACTCTTTGGCTCCCTCTCCGCGCCCCCCGTGCGTGCGTGCACAGCGAGCTGCTGGAGAGTGACGCGGACGGCATAGAAGTGTCGTACAACGCTTGCGGCATGCTGGCACACATGCTGCACGACGGGGAGGGCGCGTGGGGAGACGTGCGGCCCCCACGACACCTCGTCGCCCAGCGCATGTGGAACGCCATCGCCCGCTGGGACGCCACCTCGCGGCGCAACATCAACTACCGGTGGGGCCGGCGTCGGGGCCGGCGTCGCCAGCGTCACCGCTACTGCCAGCATCACCACTAGCACCGCTACTACCAGCATCACCGCTAACACCACTACTACTACCACCACTACTACCAGCATCACCGCTAGCACCACTACTACCACCATCACCGCTAACACCACTACCGCTAGCACCGCTACTACCACCATCACCACTACCACCACTACCACCATCACCACTACTACCACCATCACCACTACTACCACCAACACCACTACCACCATCACCACTACAACCACCATCACCACTACTACCAGCATCACCGCTAGCACCACTACTACCACCATCACCACTAGCACCACTACTACCAGCATCACCGCTAGCACCACTACCACCATCACCGCTACCACTAGCACCACTACTACCAGCATCACTGCTACCACCACTACTACCAGCATCACCACTAGCACCACTACCACTAGCACCACTACTACCACCATCACCGCTAGCACCACTACCACTAGCACCACTACTACCACCATCACCACTAGCACCACTACCACCGCTACCGCTAGCACCACTACAACCACCATCACCACGACCACCATCACCACTACCACCATCACCACTACCACCACTACCACTAACACCACTACTACCACCATCACCACTACTGCTAGCACCACTACCACCACTACCACTAACACCACTACTACCACCATCACCGCTACCACCATCACCACTAGCACCACTTCTACCACCATCACCACTACCGCTAGCACCACTACCACCACTACCACTAACACCACTACTACCACCATCACCACTACCGCTAGCACCACTACCACCACTACCGCTAGCACCACTACTACCACCATCACCACTACCGCTAGCACCACTACCACCACTACCGCTAGCACCACTACTACCACCATCACCACTACCATCACTACCACCATCACCACTACTACCACCATCACCACTACTACCACCATCACCACTACTACCACCATCACCACTACTACCACCATCACCACTACTACCACCATCACCACTACAACCACCATCACCACTACAACCACCATCACCACTACTACCACCATCACCACCACTACCACCATCACCACTACAACCACCATCACCACTACTACCACCATCACCACTACTACCACCATCACCACTACAACCACCATCACCACTACTACCACCATCACCACCACTACCACCATCACCACTACAACCACCATCACCACTACTACCACCATCACCACCACTACCACCATCACCACTACTACCACCATCACCACTACTACCACCATCACCACTACTACCACCATCACCACCACTACCACCATCACCACTACAACCACCATCACCACTACAACCACCATCACCACTACAACCACCATCACCACTACAACCAGCATCACCACTACAACCACCATCACCACGACCACCATCACCACTATCACCATCACCACTACAACCACCATCACCACTACAACCAGCATCACCACGACCACCACCATCACCACTACAACCACCATCACCACGACCACCACCATCACCACTACAACCAGCATCACCACGACCACCCGAACACGGCAGCACAGCAAGTGTTGGTGCGTGTGTGGCGGTCAGCCTTGTCAGGCGCCGCTGCCGCTGCCAGCACTTGCCACCCTCCCCCTACCGCCTGTTAAGGCTACGCGGGGGACCTTTGTCTTTGTGTCTCCGCAGGTCTTTTGAGCCAATCCTGAGGCTCATTCCACAGTCGGTGTCTCCTGTGAGCCAACACTGGGCAACCTGGGCCCTGTACAACCTCATCACAGTGTACCGTGAGTGGGCACTCGCTCGTCCACCAGCTCGCTCGCTCGCCCTCTCATCACTCGCTCGTCCACCAGCCCGCTCATTCACTCGCTCGCTCACCCGTTCACTCATTCACTCGCTCATTCACTCGCTCGCTCACCCGTTCACTCATTCACTCGCTCGCCCGCTCGCTCATTCACTCGCTCGCCCGCTCGCTCATTCACTCGCTCGCCCGCTCGCTCATTCACTCGCTCGCCCGTTCGCTCATTCACTCGCTCGCCCGCTCGCTCATTCACTCGCTCGCCCGCTCGCTCATTCACTCGCTCGCCCGTTCGCTCATTCACTCGCTCGCTCGTTCACTCATTCACTCGCTCGCTCACCCGTTCACTCATTCACTCGCTCGCCCGCCCGCTCATTCACTCGCTTGCTCACTCGCCCGCTCGCTCATTCACTCGCTCGCTCGTTCACTCATTCACTCGCTCGCTCGCTCGTTCACTCATTCACTCGCTCGCTCATCTGCTCACTTATTCATCCGCTCGCTCATTCACTTGCTCGCTCGTCCGCTAGCTCATTCGCTCGCTCACCAACTCACCAGCTCACTCGCTCACCCGCTCACTCGCTCACCCACTCACTCCTCTACAACCTCCTCTACAACCTCATCACAGTGTACCACGAGTGATCACTGACGCGACAATGACAACGATGACAACGACAATGACGACGACAATGATGATGACGATGACGACAATGATGATGACGACGATGATGACGACGACGATGACGATGATGACGACGATGATGACGATGACAATGACTACAAGGACGATAACGACGACGACGACGACGATGATGACTATGACAACGACGACGATGACGACGACGTTGACGACGATGACGACGTTGACGACGATGACGATGACGACGAAGATGACGACGATGACGACGACGATGACGATGACGATGACGACGATGACGACGATCACGTGGTGTCTCTCCCCCTTCACGCTGTGCCCACAGCTGACAAGTACTGCCCGCTGCTGATCGCCGAGAATGGCCCACAGCTGCTGATGGGCATGCTGGACAGCCCCAGCACACACGCAGACACCAAGGAGAAGGCGAGGTTGGTAGCCGGGTGGCCGGCCGCACCACGAGTCAGGCCACACCACACCACGAGGCACGCCGCACCACGAGTTAGGCCACACCACGATTAGGCCACACCACACCACGAGTCATACCGCACCACGAGGTTGGCCACACCACGAGGTAGACCACACCACGAGTGAGGCCACACCACGAGCCAGGCCACACCACACCACGAGGCAGGCCACACCACGAGGCAGGCCACACCACGAGTCAGACCGCACCACGAGGTTGGCCACACCACGAGGTAGACCACACCACGAGTGAGGCCACACCACGAGCCAGGCCACACCACACCACGAGACAGGCCACACCACGAGTAGGCCGCACCACGAGTCAGGCCACACCGCGAGTTATGCCACACCACGAGTCAGGCCACACCGCGAGTTATGCCACACCATGAGTCAGGCCACACCGCGAGTTATGCCACACCACGAGCAGGCCGAACCGCTAGGCGGGACCGCATCACGATTCAGGCCGCACCACGAGTACAGGCCACACCCTCGTCACACATGCCAGGGCCCTAACCCCAAAGGGGCCGTCCATAAATGACGTCACGTACCTATTGGGGGGGGGGGGGGGGGGTTGAGGGGGGGTTTGAGAAATGTGACGTCACATCAAAATTGCGCAACTTTATAAATAAATATAGACACAACACGTTCTACTTAATTAAATATAATTTATAATAAATGTTTTCTTCCTACAACATCAGAGTGCAGCGCCACATTAAATACGCAACTACTACAGTGACAACAATAGTTTAAAGCGATTTGAAGCATGTCTTATTTATTTTGGGGGGGGAGGGGGCAGAGCTTTGTGACGTCATATTTGAGGGTGGGTGGGGGTCTCACTTTTTGTGACGTCACGTGACGAGGTGGGGGGGGGGGTGGGGGGTGGGGGGGGGGTCATTTATGGACGGCCCCAAAGGTCAAACGTACGCCGCACCAATCACCGTGCACACCGACACCACCAGCCCGGCCACAACACCACGGTTTGATTTCTTCACGGCCACGCCAATCACCGCACGGCTACCAGGAGGCCTCATCGCGGATACCGTGGGTGGCGGTTATTACCGTGGGTGGCGGTTACCGTGGGTGGCGGATACCGTGGGTGGCGGATACCGTGGGTGGCGGTTACCGTGGGTGGTGGTTACCGTGGGTGGCGGTTACCGTGGGTGGCGGATACCGTGGGTGGCGGTTACCGTGGGTGGTGGTTACCGTGGGTGGCGGTTACCTTGGGTGGCGGATACCGTGGGTGGCGGTTACCGTGGGTGGCGGTTACTGTGGGTGGCGGTTACCGTGGGTGGCGGATACCGTGGGTGGCGGATACCGTGGGTGGCGGTTACCGTGGGTGGCGGTTACCGTGGGTGGTGGTTACCGTGGGTGGCGGTTACCGTGGGTGGCGGATAAAGTGGGTGGCGGTTACCATGTGTGGCGGTTATTACCGTGGGTGGCGGTTATTACCGTGTGTGGCGGTTACCGTGGGTGGCGGATAAAGTGGGTGGCGGATAAAGTGGGTGGCGGTTACCATGTGTGGCGGTTATTACCGTGGGTGGCGGTTATTACCGTGGGTGGTTACCGTGGGTGGTGGTTACCGTGGGTGGCGGTTATTGCTGTGGATGGCGGTTACCGTGGGTGGCGGTTACCGTGGGTGGCGGTTATTACCGTGGGTGGTGGTTACCGTGGGTGGCGGTTACCGTGGGTGGTGGTTATTGTGGGTGGTGGTTACCGTGGGTGGTGGTTATCGTGGGTGGCGGATACCGTGGGTGGCGGATACCGTGGGTGGCGGTTATTACCGTGGGTGGCGGTTACCGTGGATGGCAGTTACCGTGGGTGGCGGATACCGTGGGTGGCAGTTATTACCGTGGCGGTTATTGCCGGTGCTGATCCGCTGGCTGTGCGTTGTGTGCCGCAGGAAAGTGATCGAGTTGTGCCGAGATCATCAGCAGTCTTAGCTGCCTCGGTGGTGGAGGTGGTGGAGGTGGTGGTGGAGGTGGTGGAGGTGGTGGAGGAGGGGGTGGAGGAGGATGGGCGGGCGAACCAACTCGCTCACTCACTCACTTACTCGCAAGCTCGCCTACTCGCTCGCTCACTCGCTCACTCACACTCGCTCACTTACTGACACGCTCGCTCACTCACACTCGCTCGCAAGCTCACTTACTCACTCACGCTTGCTCGCTCACGCTCGCTCGCTCGCTCACTCCCATACAGCATCACTCGTGATACAACACTCCTCCCTCTGGCATCACCAGCCAGCCGATAACACCCACCCACTCCCACTCACCCCCCCATCCACCACCCACCCACCTATCCACCCACCCACCTATCCACCCACCCACTCACTCACCCACCCACTCACCCACCCACTCACTCACCCACCCACTCACCCACCCACCCACTCACTCACCCACCCACCCACTCACCCACCCACCCACTCACCCACCCACTCACCCACCCATCCACTCACCCACTCACCCATCCACTCACCCACTCACCCACCCACTCACTCACCCACCCACTCACCCACCCACTCACCCACCCACTCACCCATCCACCCACTCACCCACCCACTCACCCATCCACTCACCCACTCACCCATCCACTCACCCACTCACCCATCCACTCACCCACTCACCCACCCACTCACTCGCTCACCCACTCACCCACCCACTTCACACCCACCCACTCACCCACCCACCCACTTCACACCCACCCACTCACCCACCCACCCACTCACTCACCCACCCACTCACTCACCCACCCACTCACCCACCCACTCACTCACCCACTCACTCACTCACCCACCCACCCAATCCCACCCACCTATCCACACAATCCCATATATCCACCCACCAAATCCCACCCAAATTCCACCTCCGTATGGTGTGAAACAAGTCCAACACACACGCACTCACGCACATACACCCACAATCCCACTCACCCAATCAACACCGTGCCTCCCATCGGCGTCACGTGATCACGCACAGCAGCTGCGATTGGACGTTGCGAGCGTCGGGCGGGGTGTGGAGTGGGCGGAGCTACCTAGTTAAAGTGGGCGGGACTTGGGGGGGGGGGTGACAGAAGGCGTGGCCACACCCCCCCAGGGAGGGGGTTGGGTGTTATTGGGTGTGGCCACACACTGGCCACGCCCGGAGGGGGGGGGGGGGGTTTGGTAGGGGGCGTGACCACACTGGCTACGCACAGGGGAGGGGGGCAAAGTCGCACTGGCCACGCCCATGGGAGGGGGGGGCAGGGGGCGTGGCAAAACACTGACCGCGCCCCCATCACTTTAGTCACGCCCCCCATTCTGTGCTCAAACCACTGGCTGAGATGTGGCCGTGGTGGTGATGATGATGAGCTGTATGTTGTTTAATGAGGGTGATGTTTTATCTGTTCTGGGGGGGTGTTGCGGATGCGTCGACTGCCACATTTTTTCACCGTTCGGGCCGTCAGACCGAGCACCCCAATCCGTGCAGCGGCATCTTTCGTTTATTCAATAAAACTGGCATGACGTCTGTGTGACTGCGTCTCTTGTGTGTGTGTGTGTCTTGTCTCCCAGTGTCTCGCTGTCTTGTCTTATCCATCTGCCATGTCTCCCAGTGTGTGCCAGTGTTTTTGTCTCTGTGTGTGTGTGTGTGTGCGTCTTGCTAACCCATCTGCCTTGTCTCTGTGTCTCTGTCTTGATTTAAAGCTTTCGTGACTGCAGGGATTCATATTCTTTGGTTCTTTCGGTAAAGTCACCACCACGTAGAAGAGAAACAATACAATAAATACAAATATTATTTTATTGTTTCCCTTCTACGTGACAATAAAATAATATTTTGTTTCCCTTCAACGTGACTTTACCAAAAGAGCTAAGGATATAGACAACACGTTCTACTTAAATTTTGATTTAAAGCTTTCGTGACTGCAGGGATTAATATTCTTGGTTCTTTCGGTAAAGTCACCACCACGTCGAAGGGAAACAATAAAATTAAAAAAATATATAAAACAATAAAATTCTCACAAGAAAGTTTTCTTGCTGTGGTTTTCACACCTGATGATGATTGCTTGTGTTGCAGTCGAAACGTCGTGAGAATTTAATTGTTTTATATTTTTATTATTTTATTGTTTCCCTTCTACGTGGTGGTGACTTTACCGAAAGAACCAAGAATATGTCTCTGCCTTGTCTATCCATCTGCCATGTCTCCCAGTGTGTCCCAGTGTTTTTGTCTCTGTGTGTGTGCGTCTTGCCAATCCATCTGCCTTGTCTCTCCGTGTCTCTCAGTGTCTCTGTCTTGTCTAACCATCTGTGTCTGTCTCCCTGTGTCGTCTGTCCCTGTCCGTGTGTGGGGGGCGGGGGGGAGCGGTGGCACATGCGAACCCGGCTATGACCGGAGTTCGATTCCTGTTCACCGGTCCCGGGGCCTCCCCCTAGGTCGACTCGGCCTCAAATGAGTTACCTGGTGCTGCGGTGTGTGTAGTAAATATCGTCACTGGGGAGACAAAGGCGGCCGGGCGTGGTGCTGGCCACCCACCTTCCTCGTGTGCCATGCCGGACTTAATAGGTGCTCGCTAACAGCACTTGCCCCTGCAGCATATACGGGCGATCTTTGTGTGTGCATGCGTGCGCGTGTGTGTCTAGGGGTGGGTTAGCAACTTAAAGTTGACTTGCCGATGACCGGTACCAGCGGTGTCAAGATCGGCCTCTGTGGAGGAGGCTCGTGAAGGACGCTGCTACTGGGCAGTTGGAGGGAGTCGCCCTCCAACAACAACGGAGGGCGGAGGAGCGACGCTCACAACAACGAGCGGTGGCGAAAGCATAGCAAAGTTGGCACAGTAGGCGGACACAGGTGGTGCATCAGCCACTCATCTCAGTCGTCTCAGTCGTCTCAGTCGACCCGTGGCACCTGCTGGGTCTGCCCCGTGACCTCCTGCCAGCGGGCGTTCGACACTTCACGTGGCCTCGAGGTGCACAAGGCCTGGCACAAGCGTCGCGGTGACGTCACCGCCACTTAGTGGCGAATGGCGGTTGTTCGTTGTTGTTAGCAACTTAATCCCCCATGAATTATCCGAGTTCTGCAGTCCTACGTGGCAACGTTTATGCACCGACTCCATTGGTCATGCCCGGAGGAAATACCCACGTGACATCGTCAACAACGTCCTCAGAATCAACAACGTTATGAACATGACCATCAACATCGTCATCAACGTAAATCATCATTATCAACATAATAAATCATCATTATCAACATCATCAACAACATAAATCAACAGCATAAAAATCAGCAACAATATCATCATCTACATCAGCAACATCATCATAATCGAACCGATTGACATTACCACGTCTGGCCGCCAGGCGGCGCGTGACCCCCACCACGTGCTGTGACGTCAACGACCACGTGGCCTTGGCGCGAGTCTCTTTATAAATCTTTTAAAATCCGCCACGCGAACAGAAAGAAAAACGTCTCCTCGACTCCCGCTTTCATTTCTTAATTTTTTTTGTTTTTGCCTATTAAAGAACAACAACAACGAGAGCAGAATTATAACAACAACAACTTTAACAACATAACATAAACAGACGCATTCTTTAGCTCTTTCGGTAAAGTCACGTTGAAGGGAAACAATAAAATATATATATAAAACAATAACAAAAAATTCTCACGACGTTTCGACCGTAACACAAACGGTCGTCATCAGGGGTTTGTGTTACGGTCGAAACGTCGCGAGAATTTTTTTAAATTGTTTTATAATATATATTTTATTATTCTTTTCATTGTTTCCCTTCAAACGTGGTGACTTTACCGAAAGAGCCAAGAATGTGAATTACTTGCAGTCCACGCAAGCTTTAAATAAAAACAATTTCTAAACGGACACGTCCGTTATTTCGACCAAGTAGAGAATCCGCAAACCAAACTGGTGAGCTAACGGGGGGTCGCCGCTGCGGCACTCGCCACGCACGGCCGCCTTTGTCTCCCCCAGTGGCCACACACTCGGGGAAAAAGATAAAGGTCCCCCGTGCAGCCTCTAACCTCTAGCCGTGGGGGGGGGTATTGGCACGCGCTGCGAACAACAGCAGCAGCAGCAGCAGGGCCTTCGAAGAGCTGTCACTGTGGCACACAGCACAAGGCGCTGAGGGGGCTGCCTGGTGTGGCCGGCGCCACGCACGCCCGGCCGCCTTTGTCTCCCCAGGTTGGCGATAGCCTCGACAGGCTGCCGGGGCAAGCGCCGTTAGCGAGTAGCGGCACCGGTGAACGCCAACGGCACTGCGGCGCACGAGGGGGTGGCCGGCACCACGCCCGGCCGCCTTTGTCTCCCCAGGTTGGCGATGTTTACTACACACACCGCTACACCGGGTGCTCATTTGACGCTGAGTCGACCTAGGAGAGGCCCAGAACCGATTCATGAAATCGTCACTGGTGGTGTTTTGCCGTGAGCGGGAATCGAACTCGGGTGGCGCTAACTACTACTACTACACTACCGTTACCCACCCACCCACCCACATACAAACCCACCCACTCACCCACCCACTCACCCACCAACCCACCTACCCACCAACCCACATACCCACTCACCCACCCACTCACCCACTCACCCACCAACCCACCTACCCACCAACCCACCTACCCACATACCCACTCACCCACCCACTCACCCATCAACCCACTCATCCATCAACCCACCAACCCACCTACCCACATACCCACTCACCCACCCACTCACCCATCAACCCACTCATCCATCAACCCACCAACCCACCTACCCACATACCCACTCACCCACTCGCTCACCCACCCACTCACCCACCCGCTCACATCCACCCAACCACTCACACATTCACCCACCCACTCACACATCCACCCACCCACTCACACATCCACCTACCCACCCACTCACTCACCCACCCACCCACCAACTCACCCACCCACCAACTCACCCACCCACCAACTCACCCACCCACCAACTCACCCACCCACCAACTCACCTACCCACTCACTCACCCACTCACCCACCCACTCACTCACCCACCCACTCACTCAC